TGATAATGAAGACATTATAATTACAAAACTGCAGGTGGCTGAATCCATAGGATCCACGTGCTCATTTTCACCAAACCTTATTATGAATTCTTCATAAAAGTAAACAAAAAATGCTTAGAACGTCTCCCATTATTATTAAGTAAAGAATCTATAGATTTAAGAATAAGAAAATATAAACACTAATGGATAAAAAGATTTAGAAAGTTTGGGGCTAATATTAGTAACATTGCTTAATATACCTGTAAAAGCGGTTTATCAATTTTATCCTCTTCTTCCTACTTAAGGTTTTGGGATTTTCATTACTTTCTTTATTTTTATTTCATTTATTTTCTATTGTCCTGCCCCTTCTTTGTTTTTGAATTATTATCGAATGGTTTTTGTCGTCGATTCTCTTTGTGCCTGCGATGGACTGCTGTCCCAATCTTGTTTAATTGCCCGCTGCCTGCTGGGATAGGCTCCGGCCGCCCTGCAACTCTGTGGATAACGTGGTTAGAAGATGGATGATTCTCGTGAACAAATTCTTGCTCAAAGTGAAGGAAATATGTTGATAACTATTTGTTTAATGGTAGGATGGCACTGATGTGTGTACACTTCAACTAGGGGTCTCTTGTTGGTTGATTTTTCTCTATATTTTACTGATCTGTTTTTTTTGTCCTCTCCTTTTGTCAGAACACACGTAAACTTTTGAAGTTCAGGGTCATCTTGAGTATGGCACTATATGAGGCGGGCTTGATAAACCTCCCACTTCCAACAATTCTGTTGTACAGTTTTTCAGTGTTCACCCCCCACATATGACTCCTGCAAAGGGGTTCCTTATTAACTTTTTAATTAGGAGATACGTCTTTATCCAAAGGATGGTGGGAGTGTGGAACCACTTATCCTGGAAGTGCAACAGAGTTTTGTCCCATTTCCAGATATTTGCAATGGATGGTGTGTTTGTTTATGAATCCCATCTCAGACCATCAGGTCGTTTTCAGAAGCACAGAGGATAGGTGGAGTACCAGTATCATTCCACCTTTTCTGAAGGGGCCAGAGGTCCAGTGTTTCTGGTACATAAATCTCTTCCTTTAATCGTTTCTGAGGTGGAAGCACATCCAGGGGGCAGCTGTACTGCAGTCAAGGGTAAGCTTTTCGGCATGCCATCAATCCAGGCTAATGTCTGTGCTCCCAGCTTTGACAGTAGTCAATGTTTTTAACAATTTCTTATCTTGTCTTCCTGACCTTCATTCTCATCACTTAATCCTCGGGGGCAACTTCAACTGTACCCTGCATGACAAACTAGATCGCTCACCAGCAAAGAAACGCTTCCTCAAAATCTGCTCAAATGCTTGGTACAGTATTTCCTTGATACATGCAAAGTCTCAGATGTTTGCCACTTTATATTTCCCACTAACGAGCAGTATTTGTTCTTTTCATTTGAGCACCAGACATATTTGTGTATCAACTCTTCTTTCCTATGTAGTAAGCTGCTCAGGGGTGCTAATTCCTGCCAGTATCAGTGTATCCTGACGTGTGCTCTTGCACACCTAGTCTTGGACTACTTCACCTTTTTTTCCCAGCAGCTTCAAAAGTGTGTAGATAGATAAGATCACTTTATTGGCCATATACAATTTCTTGTATTAGGAATGGGTCTTTTCACATACCCCAGCCTGCTCTCCATGAGACACACAGACAGGGAGAGAAGCTTGAGGTCAGAGCACAGCGTCAGCCATTTATACGGCACGGGTGAAGGGTCTTGCTCAGGGGCCCAACGGAGTAGGATTCCTCTGCCGGCCGCGGGATACGAACCAGCAACATTCCAGCCACAGGCGTTGATCCTGAGCCACAGAGCCACAGAGCTACCGCTCCGCCCCTGGTTTTGTTCATGTCCCTGGTTTTAAGAACAATTCTTTCTTAAAACTTATACCACCCCAAACACTTACCCACCCACCCTTGGCAAACACTAAAAAAACTGTCTGGAAGGCCAAATTATAACTTTTCCTGACCAATCTAATAAATGACATCATAGTTTCTGAGAAACCTGAAATAAATTTTATAAACTGACCAGTCATATGGCAGCTTGCCCACCTCTGATCTATATAAACAGTGATTAATGCTGCAAAAATGTGACTTCCTCTAATTTAGACAGGCTGAACAGCTTTTGGTAAATCTAGATACAGTTTATGAATATGCAAATAGAGCCAGTAAACTTCTTGCACACGAGCTTCACCAATCAACGACATCCTAATTCATTGCTAACATTAATACTGCAATGGGTATCCCAACTGCTAAACAATTGGAAATAAATGACCAATTCAAAATGCACTCCTCTCTATTCATAACAGAATGTTCTTCCCACTATATTTTCACTTGATCGACTGGATTTTCAAAAGACTGTTCAGTGTTATATATACTAATTCCAGGGCCTGATTTTGGTGTTTTTGCACTTTCACTCCCAAATGTGTAAAAAGAGGGGTAACTGTTTTAATAATACTTTAAACTACATACAAACACACACTAATACACTTACAATAGATTTTACTTGTTTAAGGGAGGGGAATAGGAGGGGCTATTGTTCAATGTTCATGTTCAAAGTGAACAATGTTCATGTCCGCAGGATTTTATTGAAAAGGTATTGCACCATTCTGCTCTGGCATTGTCCATCTCTATCCTAAATATAAATGTAACAGAATAGAGATCATGAGCTCTGCATTAAAGTGCAGAACTCCATTCATAAGAATATAAGAAATGTTACAAATCAGTGGATTCCACTGGGACTATCTAGCCCATTTGTAGTTAGTAGCATATTGATCTGAGGGTCTCATCCCGCCATTTATTGAAATAAGTTAGGGTACCGGCTTCAACATCAAGGCTGCGTAACTTGTTCCAGACCCCACGACCCTTTGCATAAAGAACTGCCTGCTGTTTTGTTTTAACAGCTCTTCAACTTTCAGTTTCCACTTGTGCCCTGTGGTTTCTATTTGTTCATATCAAAGTAATCTGCCGGACTTTTGCCAGTACCTTTGAGGATTTTGAATTCTTGTATCAGGTCCCCTCTGTTGAACACTGAAAAGTTCTTTCAGCTAGGGCGGAGCGGTGGCTCTGTGGCTCAGGATCTGCGCCTGTGACTGGAAGGTTGCCGGTTCAAATCCTGCAGCCGGCAGAGGAATCCTACTCTGTTGGGCCCCAGCAAGGCCCTTAACCCCAACTGCTCCAGGGGTCTGTACAATGGCTGACCCTGTGCTCTGACCCCAAGCTTCTCTCCCTGTCTGTGTCTCCATGGAGAAAAGCTGGGGTATGTGAAAAGATGAATTCCTAATGCAAGAAATTGTATAGGGCTAATAAAGAAATATTACATTACTATAGGCTTCCTTAAGCCCCAGAATATATCTGGTTGCTCTTTTCTATTGATATGGTCATCAGTCTGTGCTCTGCATGGGTTAATAACTCATGAAGAATTGTCCACACTTTGCATCTGTCAAAAAACACTTTAGCTTAAGCCTGGATGCAAAAATCACCTGTTACTGTTGTAATCCTAGCTGCTTCACTGCTTCCCAATGTACAGGCTACAGGGTACAGTGTTGCTCCCAATTCTGTCATCTAATTTTGAAAGCCTCCCAGCAGTTTTGGAAACACCCATTGTGCATTACCCAACACTGGCTATCTTCTGAGGTTTGCCCAGTGACACCAGTCTAATAAAATGACAAGCTGATACCCAGGTGCGTTGCCAGCCTGCTGTCAGAACACCTGATCTTGACACCTCGGAGGCATGCTGACCCTATTCTCCTGCACACTGGATCAAAAATCTTATTTAAAAAGAGGAAAAAACACCATTAGGGGTTGTAGGCAAATAGTAGATATCTATATCGCAACTAGCGATGGTACAAAAAAAAATCTGTAGTAACAGCTACAAACAGAAGGCCTTTTGGCCCACCTGGCCTGTTTGGTACATCCAAGAGTCAAATCCAGACCAGCAAGTGATCGAGTCAGATGGCCCAAACGTTTTCTAAAACTTCCAGAATGGTTTCAGTCAAAAACGTCTTTCAGTGGCCTCCACTAGATCTTCGGTCCCTATTATTCCAAGTCCTAATTAATTGTTGACTATATATCTGATCTGAAATATCTGAATATCAGAGTTTAATGGAGTGAAAGATTATTTAAAACTATGGCAACACTGCCCTCTGTTGGAAATAAAGTTGGCAATTCCTCCAATTTTGTTTCAGTGAAAGGTCGGAAAAAACTCCTGCATACATCAGCGTTAAAAAAAATAAAATAATCCTTATTCGATCAGTAGCATCAGAGAGAATGGATAATAAGGAAACATACTGATTTGGCTTGACATTCACATTACCGTTGGCTTTTTCTTCCAACTTCAAAAACTGAGATGTTAAATTGAAATTAAGCCGCTGAAACATTAGTTACAATTAGGACTGAAGGTGAGAGAATGGGAAGCAGTAAAGAACACTGCATTAGGAACAATGATGAAACTAAAAATGTTTTACAATAAATGCGAAAAATATAAAATATGCCCAAGCTTTTAACTTTTAATACTCTTATCATATCAAACTTTAAATACTCTATTTCATTCTCAGCTCCCAGGAGGCATCACTGCTTAGGACTTTGGACTTGTAACTGCAAGGTTGTGGGTTCAAATCCTAGGCAGGGCACATGTGTTGTGTCCAAGGGCAAGGTACTGCCCTCAGACTGCTTCAGATGCTCACCCGCCTAGGTCAGTAACAATGCACCGTGACCGTGGTTAAAAACATCACCCTAACAAATTAATCTGGCTTTCCAGGGAAAATAAGGGGTCGTTTTACAACCACTCTGTGTATGTCAGCATGTGCAGCAGCCATTTCCTGCTCCTAAACCCAAGGCTCTAAATGCCTTATATAATCATTTTAGCGCTTTCCAGTGAAAGGTGAGGATGTTCAAGCAGCCCAACGGCACAAGACACTTTCAGCAAACACAAAAGGACAAAGAGAACTGGAACGGGAATGAAAAAGGAGACCAGAAACAAGCTGTGCTGACTCATTCAATTTAATGGCACAGATCAAATATTTTATATAAAATATAACATTTTTTGGTACAGCAATAACTGGAAAAAACAGGCCTCTTTCATTACACTTAAAAAAAAAACCTCCCACCATCTGCTAATGCAACAGCTGACAAACTGAGGGGGAAATAATTTCCTTAGATTCATTTATCCTAGTTGAGATTGCTTATGCACATAACCTAGGATCATAAATAATCTTTGGGGAAAAGAAAACAACCATGAGTGATTTTATTGACAGTATCGGTTTATGCAATTTTTTCTTCTTACATTTTCTACATCAGGAGAACACACAGATTTTCACAAACTTTAAGAAACCCCTTCATTTGATTTACATCCTGTACATAAGTATTCTATAATCTCATAAGTACTATACCCCAACAATCAGCAAACCAACCAGTTGAACAGGTCTGAATTTCAGATCTAAAAATAAAGACTGTTCTCTGTTTCGTAATTAGATTCAGATTTATGAAACAGTCTGAATGCAGGCAGACCAGAATACGGCTACTGTAATACATCAAAATAGGTAAAATAGATTTTAAAAGAAGAATTACCAAGCTGTTGAAAACAGTTTCCAGTTTAGTTGGTAACAAATATTCATATAGGGGTACAAATCAATGGAATTGAAAATACTTAGAAAGCAGTTTGCAAAAGTGTGGCATTACACTTTTTTTGTTTTTGGATGTACATTACTTAAAGATTTGTTTTTTGTTTTGTTTTTTTCTAATTATACCAAAGAAAACAAAAGGCTTATGTACTTCATACCTGTTGTAACTCTTGAGATTCTATGCAAGGTACTTAAAACTGGCAGTTTCTTCAGTGACATCACCCACGGTTAAATTCATGAACAAAATGTTATATACTAGTTTGCAAAATATAATTAAACTGAAACTGTAAGCAGATTTGTTGTAGAGCATTTACCGTTAGGTGACAGGTAAATTACTAGTGAAAAGAAATGTTAAGTAAAAAAAGATAGTCACTACCATTATTCAAAACAATCCAGTCATGGGCTATAACTCATAAGCCAGAATGATTATCATTAAACTGCTATACTCCAACACTAATCATTAAAAACAATCCTTAGAGCACACTGGAAATTTATAATGTTGCTCTTCCTTTTCAGGCTCATTAGGAAAGTCTCAGTGCCATGTGTTTCATTCAATAACAGATATGCAACTGAATCGAATACTTGGCTCATGGAGATAAATTGTTTCTTTTAAGATCAAATGTATGCCTGAACAGACATCCATCACAAATAAAACTTGCAATAACATAGTCAAGAATGTTAAAAGAACCAGCTAGTAAATTTATAGATCTTTTCAAAATAGCTGAATTCATATTAAAAACAGTCCCTTTGTATTCAAATTTGGCAGCAATAAGAGGGACATCTGCAATTCTATTTATACTATAACATAAATATGGACAACAGCTTCAAAGCCCTCCTTACTCTTCAGTTGAAAATGTTTAATTCATGCATCCTTTCATGTGAATTACTTAAAAAATAAACCTTAAAAAATAAACTCTCTCATTTCTTTGATTAATACTTTAACAGTCATACCTTAACATTAAAAAGTTAAGAATATGAATTATAGATAACAGACTGAAATAAAACGTTACTTTTTTTCTCCCTTACATCTTCACAAAATTTACAAAACAATGAAAAACGAGATGCTGAGACAATTTTACCTACAAAGGGAACTTCAGAAGTTAAGAGGTTGTGTACGGAACTTGTGTGCTGTTATCTGCCATAATCATGAATTCTAGTTTTTGCCCGAGCATAAATTTCAATTTCAATTGACATTATTCAATGAGCAAAAGAAAACACAGGAACGGGCTTCACATGGTTTATAACTTAATCCTTCTGTTTTTATAAAAAAAATAAACGCAGCCCCATTCCACGCTAGTAAACCCATTTATTCACATCGCAGAATACTGAAGCGGTGGTCGAGTCCCCGGGTCCAAGGCCAAAGGTCAAAGACAGCTGCTCAGGATGCTGCACTCGATTTCTTCGGGCCGTCTATCCCCTTGTGCTCAGGGATGTGTTTGAAGATGCACTTTTCTCTCTTTGTGCACCCACCGGTCCTCCAGTAAACACATTCACCATTTGCTTTCTGTCTGAGAAAAAAAAAACACTGACAGCTTTCAGCTACACAAACATTCATAGTAATAAAACTGAAATGTATCTGGGATGAAGTTATCCCATCAATCTCAAACTAACACGCAAGCCTTTCAGACATGCACATAACCCTCTGGATACACAGAAAGTCCAGTCTGGCTGGGAGAACTTATAATCTGGTTTCAAAATAAAGTATATAAACATACTGTCACAAATGTTAAACCAGAACTGTGTGCAGAACACATGATTTGCACTTGTCATACAGTTCCATAAATCATTAGCCTTCGGAGAATATTCTTTCATTTTATAATTTCACCTACGCTACACATCAAGGTGCATAGTGCATTTCCAAGTGTAACGCAGAACCATTTTGTGTGGCTTCTTTAGTTTGATCCATGGTGCTGGGAATTAAATCTTCAACACAGAAATACATTGTTAGCCCTATTAGGCCATGAGAAAAATACTGAAAACAGCTTCCCACTTGGTGCTATACTCCTTTTGACAGAATCCACAAACGAGAATGAATATCGCACTGAAGTGTAAATTTTCAAGCCTTCTTGCTTAGAAACAAGTCACATCAGCCTGTCTTGCACACGTTCACATCTTACAAATACAATGACAAGTGCTGAAGTATAAAAGTTGTAAGCTGTGAGTCAAGGAGGAAGGTTTTGGATATAAATATGGGTACAAGGCAAATGTATCCAGATGTCAGCTTGCATTTACCCTGAAACCTAAAGCCATTATTATTACAACCTGAAGAGTAATCCTCCTTCTAGCGCTTTGCTTTTTTCTAAATTAGATTTTTCAGTCCAGAATGATGCCGGGCTAAGGCCCATCTACCCAGACCTCCCACAAAATCTACTGGGAAGATACTATTGGGCCCTGGAGATTCATTAATTTTAAATGCTTAGGCTGAATCTTAACCCAAAATGCTTCTGTCTTGTATGCTGTTACTATTTAGGAACTTCATCCTCCAAATATCTGAGGTATATTGGTGACTTTTTACTCACTGAACACCTGTGTAAATTCATTTACTACATCAGCTTTTTTGCTTTTGAATTTAAAGTATTTTAGCCTCCACCCCAATATTCCTTTACATTTCTCTCTTGGCCTAATATTCTTTTGCCAGTGCTTGCAATTCATTTTACTCATTTCCTTTCACTGGATTCTGTTTTTTTTTTGTGTGTGTTATAAAGCACCTTTTCTATTTTTCTTCAATTGATTTGTTAAACCATTTGTGATTTTTATCTCAACCTGGAAAGTCTCAGAACATACTTCAAAGCACACCATATTATGATCACAGCTCCCTAATGTCTGTGTGCCTCACTCAGTCCCGTTTGTTTGAGAAGATCTATACAAGCATTGCCTCTTGTAGGTGCTGGGACAAAATGGGTAAGAAAGAATCATTAACCATGTTTATCCCAGGCTTTGTAGGGAAAACTGAAGTCTCCAATAAAAACTACTTTTGCTATAAACTACTTTTGCACATAAATTTGTAATTAAGCATTTTAATGTAATGTAACCTCATTGTATTTTCATTGTTAGAAAGCTATCAAGCCCTTGGTATTCATTAATTTTAAATGTTACTTTGAACAGGTAGAACTGTTACATGCTGATACTATTTCAAAAATAACTTTGTTCTTGCTGTGGTATATAGTTAATTCTTTGGCTGTTAGGCAAATGTTATGATGTGTATGTGTTAGTTCACTATACCTGTGATCTACAGTTTTAGGGCAGCATATATATATATTGACTACAATGCTGCATAACAAATGCAAACTTCCTGCATGCTTAAACCAGGTTTGACTATCCTGAATCTTCCACTTCCTTGTATATTAACTCTGTGCCTGCAATAATAAGATGCCGAATTCATAACTACAGCTTTTCTATATATACAATGTATAATTATTTAGGGAAAATACTGAGGGAAAAGGAATTATTACTATTAGTACTATATAATACTAAATGGGTGATGCTGAATTTTAAAAAGAAAACTGTGAAATGATGTTATGTTAGCAGTGAGGGCAGCCCTTGATGAAACCACCTCTTTTCAGACTCTCAGTCAACCGCTGGTTCCTGATGTCCAAAGGCAAAGCAATGTTTAAAGGCAAAGCAATGACTTTGAATACAACAGTATTGAGTTATACCCTGTTAATCCTGTTCTAGCCAAACATAGCTCTGACAATTCGACCTGGTCTTGAAACTGTGCACTTAACTGCAGGACCGGTTTGGCTTCTGACCCATTTCAGGGCTGGCCACCAGTTTGGGTATGTGCTTCACTAAACATTTAGGATACAACCCATCACAAACACTTTGAGAGATATTCTGAACAGTTACTTACTGATTAGCAGGTTTAGCTGGTTGGTCAGAAGAAGCTTTAGAAGTTTTTGCCAATGCAATATGTTTATAAACGTGATCAGGGTAACGGACTATAAGTTTGGATCCATCAATGTCTTTCCCCTGTAAAAAATACAGTACATTTCAGAACACAGAATAGAAGGAAAGGGCAAACTATGCATGTGACATACAGAACCAGTTAAAAGTTGGAGTACTCCTGCTTGAAACCAGGTTTTTCATGATTATCTGTGCTTTCAACTGTATAAACTTGTCTATAACCACTTAATATTTAATTACATGATGTGTACTTATAATCTTAAGTAAACTGCATTGAAAACGTTAATTTTTCATTTTCAATAAAATGAACACCCAAAGCAAGCAGATTTCAGTTTGAACCCCAGGTTAGTTAAAAGTCAGAAATGTGTATAACATGGTGTTAGAACACTAAAAGAAGTTTAAAATGGTCTTTGTTAGATGTTCTCATGGTTAACTAGCATGTTACCTCATTTACTTTTTAGTCACCAGTTATTGGTAAGCAGGTGAGGGTCCACGATTACTATAAATATAGGGAGCATGGTCAAAAGTTAGTAAATTCTGAATGAACATTGCAAAATTTGCTCAGCAAGCAAGGAAAAAGTAATAACTTTAAAAAAATGAAGGTCAATCTTTAACACAAATTTCAAGAACTTTGCAAGCGTCAGTAACTGCTGTGGCCAAGACTATCAAATGATATGAAGAAACTAGCACTCATGAGGACCGAAGAAGGCCAGGCAGGCCAGAGGTGACCTCAGAATCAGAGAATACGTTCATTAGAGTCACAAGTCTGTGAAACCGGTGACTGACTGCACCTGAAATACAAGCTGAGCTCAATGCAACTAGAAGTACAGATGTTTCAACACCAACTGTTCAGAGAAGGTTGCATGAAGCACATTTTCAATGCAGTTGACTAAATATTAAGTGTTTATAGACCAGTTTATACAGTTTCAAGCACAGATAATCATGGAAAACCTGGTTTCAAGGAAGTGTACTCAAACATTTGACTGGTACTGTATGTGAAATTTCTGTTTACAAGGAAATTTGTAGCACACAAATACATTGTATCATTCATAGCAATGATACATTGCTCATCTAATGGGTGAAGCAGTGGCTCTGTGGCTAAGGATCTGCGCCTGTGGGTGGAAGGCTGCAGGTTAAAATCCTGCGGCCAGCAGAGGAATCCTACTCCGTTGGGCCCCTGAGCAAGGCCCTTAATCCCAACTGCTCCAGGGGCGCTGTACAATGGCTGACCCTGCGCTCTGACCCCACCATTCTCTCTGTCTGTGTGTCTCATGGAGAGCAAGCTGGGGTATGTGAAACGACAAATTTCTAATGCAAGAAATTGTATATGGCTAATAAAGTGATCTTATCTTAATCTATTATTAGCAGATGATACAGACCACTCCATAGTAATCCAGCTAGAGACATCCACTCCTGTATTATGCACACCACAAGTTCATTAAAACTCAGTTTCCTGAAGGATTAACAAGCGCATGCGGGAATTAAAAAGTTTAATTACACATACAGCACCTGATTCTTTACAGTTAAAGAAAGGGCAATCTTTGGAGCATTGACTCTGCTGCCCCCTTTTTTTTTCTCGTCATTTGAGATGGACCATTTCTGATAAATCTACCTTTTTGGGGACTGAGACACGGACATACAGTTTGCCCAATACATAACAAAAACAAAACACAGAGGGACAGAACTAGAAAACCAACAAAACAAGGTAATTTGAGCACCAAAAGGAACATATCACCCTGCAGCTCACAACAGGCAACCCACTGAAGCTAAGCAGGTGTGAGCCTGGTCAGTCCCTGGATGGGAGACCTCCTGGGAAAAAAGGTTGCTGCTGGAAGTGGTGTTAGGGGGGCCAGCTGGTCACCCTGCAGTCTGCTTGGGTACTAATGCCCAAGTAAGGCCAGGGGACACTACACTGTAAAATAGGTGCCATCCTTAGGATGAGTCATAAAATTGAGGTCCTGACTCTCTGTGGTCACTAAAAATGTTACCCCGGCATCCTGGTCAAATTTCCCCATTGTCCTTTCCCAATCATGGCCTCCTAATAATCCCCATCTCTGAATTGGCTTCATCACTCTTGTTCTCCTCCCCACTGAGAGCTGGTGTGTGGGGAGTGTACTGGTGCACTATGGCTGCCGTCGCATCATCCAGGTGGGGCTGCACATTGGTGGTGGTGGAGGGGAGTCCTCATGACCTGTAAAGTGCTTTTAGTGGAGTGTCTAGAAAAGCAATATATTAATTAAGCAATTATTAATTATAATAATAATCCGGGATTTAGCATAGGGATGGTTGTCTTTTAGTTGTAGAAATATTTTCCTTTTTGTTTTCCATCAGGCTAAAGAAATCACATTGGTTCAATGTTCTATTTGTAACAGGGAAAGAACTGCCATTTATTTAGCATCCATTTTAAAGAGTGATTTAATCTTGTGTAGACCCTTAATTTGACAAGAAACAGGTTCTCTCTTTTTATATGGTATGAATGTCTATTTTCTTGTTCTATAGAAGACATTATCTGGTACTTGCATCCTTGTTCTGTGCCTCCTAACATACTTTCACAAGGGCAGGACATTTCCCAGGAAGAAAGCTATGGCATACAGTGTCTGTAAATTTTATACGATTAAAAAACAAAGTCAAAACTAGGAACAAAATGAAAGGCAACTTCATTTCCAGCTGTTTTTTCCTCTGTCTTCAAGAACAGACTTCTAGGGCCTTCTAAACATATAGATGGGTATCATGTGAACACACAGATGTTAAAGTTATACATGTTAGAGACACACTGGACAAGATATGCAGCCCCTGGGCCATCTAAAAATGGACTAAATTTATGTCTATTAAATAGTTTAAACTAAACTACATAAGAAAACGGTATAGCAGCAAAATTTAGTGGTATCAAACTGAAAATGAGAAAAGTTGGTAATCTACAAAAAGTAAATGCTAAAATGATGAAGTAGAAAATCTCTGCTAAAAAAAACTGAAGAAAGCTTGTGCTCATCATTTAATTCAGGGTGAGAGACAGTTCACATCTCTTGTTTAAGAAGGAAAAATGAGGAGTGAACCATAAACACTAAAAATCTACCGCCAAATTAAACTCTTAATAAAAATTCTGAAAACACTTATTTCTTGTTCTCTGACTACTACTGCTAACTAAACCGGTGAATAAGAAAACTTAAGTGACATCTGCCAAGGTCTCAAAGTGCATTATATGACAAGAAGGTAGACCTTCTGACAGCCAAAAAAATCAAACATTTATTTTCTAAGATGAGCAAACCACAATACTGACAAAGCAACACCTATGGGAAATAAAGTAACGTTCAGTTTTACATTGCAAAGATCACTATCAGCGCTGTTTCAAGGGCTATAGAGAGCGATGATTTAAAAATAACTGTCATTCTCCCTTCTGAATGTTTTATAGAAGTACAGAATGCTAACTCTGAAACCTTCCAAGCAGCACTTCCTGCTGTAATGCACCATACACATTGGCTAATATAAAAAGAAGCCACGATCTATAAAACAGGTCACTGCTGTACTTACGGTTTATTTACTACTCATCATCAGACCCATATGTAAAGCAGGGGTCTCAAGCTGATTTTTCCTAAGCGCCTCGGTCAGCTTTCACTTCTCCAGGCAACCCAAGTAGATTCACATCTCTTAGGGAAAAAAATTAATCGAACTATAAAATTTCTTGCCTGCCAGACAGTTATTTGAATTTGACAGACACCTGGCAACACCCCTGTTCTGCCAGTTTGTTGATGTTATTTTTGAGACCGAGTAATTAAGATCTTTAGAACTGTGCTGCATATTTCGACTTGGTGATGATCTTTGCGAGAAATAAGTTGTTCACAAATGTAAGAACGGACATGTTTCTTCTGAAGGTGTTGTAAAGATTTGGAAAAGATGGTGGAAGATATCTGGAAAGGACTCTACGATACTCTGCCTAATAAAATATTTCAACTGTGTTCTCAGTTCAAAGAATCTCTTTAAAGAAGAGCCCGTGCTCAGCCACCATATCTCAGGGAAGTAGAGCAAATATTATAGAGTCCATTTCCTCCAAGAATGTTCAATTGTTGTATCCAGCCTTGCGCAAATCCGATCCACACTTTTTACAACAACTGACATGGCAATTTTCTGCACAGTGCATGTTGATGCACAAAGCAGTACATACCTAGTGCATTTGGTTCATTCATGCATTTTTCACTGAAAACGTGCAAACAGTTTTTGACCAATCACTGCTGGGACACTGTGGTAAAGCTTGCTAACAATTTCCAAGGCAAAAGGTGGTGTTCCAGTGCCTATAAAAGGCAGAAAAGCTTTTCACTCACCCTTATGCATTTTTCATTCACTTTTGATAAGTTCCCCTGTTCTTCGGTTACGGCAAAGTTTTCATTAACAAGTCATATATACATCAGATGGGCACTTTGCTCAACAGTGAACATGCACAGAAAGCTGCGCCTTTCTCGAAATGCTCATTGATAACTTTCTGGATGTCAAAAATACAGTCTGCAATCATTTGAAGATTGGAACACTATTTTAATCAGTCTATTGGAACATATCTGCAATTTTCATCACACATTAATAATACCCCACTTTGCAACTGGTTTCCCAGAATTAGCAAACATTTCACTCACAATGTAACTAGCCAAAACATCTGACTGACTGAAGCTGTTGCTGCTTAGATAATTGTTCAATAGTGAGAATACCCTCTCTTCCCTCGTGTAGTTATATTGCTCTGCACGTTTAGTTGCAAAATGCCATTCATTACGGTAACTTTTTACAACAACAACATTTTCTTTCAAAATACACACAGCGGCCTGGTTGTACTCCATGAGAAAACAGCAGTTTACTAATCTTGGACTTGGTGATGTCCGGCGTCAACGTTCCTTAAAGTGGGAGATATCTTTATACCCTGATTTTTCCATTAATTTTTTTTCTGGTTGCAAAATGTAAGTTACGTACACCAGCATACAGTTCTAACAGTAACTAGGTAAATAATCCCCCATTTGGCCATGATCCCCACTTACTTTATTGTTTGTACTACTGTTGTTGAAATCACCAGGATCTCTAGCATTTTATATTGATATCAGCAGGGACAGAGTGACACCTAGTGGACCGATATTGTCACTGCACTGTACAGCCATAAATGTTACTGATACATTACCTTTTAATAATAAGGAACAAGTAAGAGGTTTATTCCATGCTGAAAAAAAGAAGAAAGAGAACACAACGTGTCGGCCGTGGAGCCTTCTTCAGGTGACCTTGGACTTGGTGGTGACCACGGCCGAAACGTTGTGTTCTCTTTCTTCTTTTTTTCAGCATGGAATAAACCTATTACTTGTTCCTTTGCAGCCTACGCATGCTGACGCAGCTCCCCACCTGAACTACAACTTTTAATAATAATAATAATAATATCACTTTATTAATCCTTTACAATTTCTTGCATTAGGAATTGTCGTTTCACATACCCCAGCTTGCTCTCCATGAGACACACAGACAGAGAGAACGCTGGGGTCAGAGCGCAGGGTCAGACATTGTACAACGCCCCTGGAGCAGTTGGGGTGAAGGGCCTTGCTCAGGGGCCCAACGGAGTAGGATTCCTCTGCCGGCTGCGGGATTTGAACCGGCAACCTTCCAGCCACAGGCGCAGATCCTGAGCCACAGAGTCACCGCTCCGCCCCATTTGATAATAGTGCTTGCTGCTATTAATGCGGACTTGATTCACTTTTACTGGACTGTGGAGCTGCTTGGGCCACAGTTAGTCTCCAGGATATGACCTTGAATGCCTAGACTAAAGGATTCCCAGTAAGATGTCTGAAAAGAAATTTACCTGCATTGCCAAGATCGCTCTTTCAGCAGATTCCTTCTTTGTATAGTTGATAAAGGCACAGCGCTTACCATACAACACCCGCATGCTGTGAATTTCACCAGCACTGCAATAAGAAGAGGGAAGACTTTAGCTATAAAAAAAACTGGAGTATTCCTTTGGACCTGTAAGCAAAACTGTCTATATTACTACTTCCTCACACTAAAACAACAACTCACCTGCTAAATAATTGCTGAAGCATCTTCTCTGTCACTGAAGGGGTCACGTTTCCAACCCATACGGCTACAAGTTCCCTGTTCAAAAGGAATTGAAAGGAAGGATTAAGGAAATTTAAGATATTTTTTAAATCAACAAATTAAGCCACATTTTATAAATTCATAACTTTAAACCACAGCATTTAATTTAAGCACATCCACATTCCAGCGACATTCGGTGAAAGACTTTGATACTGCAGAACAACGGCTCTGTATCTTTGTCATTATGAACACTGGTGACTTCGCACTTGAAGCTGGATTACCTTGGACAGGCTGCCTTTGATTGTAAAGCACTGTGGCATGAGCGCAGAAAATTAAATTTAGAAAAAAGTGTAAAAAATACTTGCAAGGGCTGCTGTTCTGGGCCCTTTAAGCTCTTCTGCGGGAGGCTGGGTTTGGGCTGTGGATGCGTTTGCAGGACAGGTTTGGCAGCAGCGTGAGGTTTTTTCGCCTTTGGCACAATCCAGTCCTCTTCAGCAGCCGGACTGCTCCCAGCATCAGGCTGGGTATCATACACTTTCACATCTGCAAGACAGCAAAACTACAATGTATGCTGTCCAGATACCATGTGGATAATAAGTCATATGAGCCGGAGGCAAAGCGCTCCAGAAAAAGGAGATATAAATTCAAATATTATTTTCCTTAACGCATCGTAGTACATTTCACATCGACACAGCCCAGCAACAGCAATTCATGCACACAGCTAAGTATTTAGTAAAACATGTGAGTGGTTTACAAACATAACTGAACAAAAAGCAGCAGTGATTTAGCAGCAGGGAAACAAACACGTCAGTTGGATGTCAGCATTGGAAAGAGAAACTTTCTCCAGTTCCAAAGCTGAGACAGCACCCCAAGTTACAGGCCAACAAAGAAGTCGCTACAGTGCAACCCCAGAAACAAGGCAACAAAATTGTATCTAGAACAGCCAAGTAAGCCTCTTTTGCACTCTTGCGGCAGAAATAAAGTGAACTGCAGTTACAACAGGTGCTCAACCTCAACAGCCACATGGCCCCAGCACACGAGCTTCCACATGAGCCAAAGCATTTTATATTTAAAAAAGAAGGACAATTTTTTAATCGCATGCTTGAATCATAGGCTGAAATTGTTAGGATGAAAGCAGCAACGAGACTTTCAAGATTAAAGACAAAACTGGAGAGTGGAAGTCTTACCATGAATACTGGACAGTGCATCCAAGGCTTTTTCAAATGTCCCATGTATTATTAAAGCATTTGAACTTTGTTCTCGAGTAAACCCCATGTCCTGCAATAAAATGGTTCGGAATGTTTTACTCACTCCTTTGTGTTTCCAAAAAAAGTGAATTTCCCTTTGGAGTTTGCAGAAAGCTGCAGTGAAACATGCTGGATTTAAAGGGCCCAGTCTAAACATCCACTTGAATCAGGTTCAAGAGTCGCCGCAAATAAAGCAAATTCAAAAATCCATACACACAATCTTGGAATGTACCCCTTAAATAAAGAACCCCCACTGAACCACAGACTTGTACTGCAGAAGTCTGACATGAAAAAAAACTAATATGTGACATCACTCTACCGCAGTGTGTTCCTGCTAATGCAGGGGTAAGCAAAAGTAAGATAATTCATGTGGCTGACATTTTCACTCAAAACAACCACAGACTAACTGAAGTACCTTGCTCAGGTGTACAACAGTGCCCTGCATGGGATAAGAACCCTAAACATTTCTGTAGGAGGCCATCTGACCCATCATGATTCAGTGGCTAACTAATCAAGGGCATCATCTAGGTATTTCTTAGATGACCACAACCAAACAAGGTTATTAACATGGCTCAGCGGTTTGTCCCAACTTACCATCAATTGTGTGATCTGAACTCTCATCAGCTCCTGGGCTGCATCGGTACAGGAACTGTCCAGCTTTAACACTTCTTTAAATGCTTGTGCAGCCTCAATGTACCTCTGGAAATAAGATGAAATATTACCTTTAGCACACATACCAACTCTGTCACCACAGATTTTTTTTTGGAAGGTGTTACTTATTTCACATGTCCAGTTATTTCAAATGGGAACTCTCAATAATTCTGGTCATGTCGTTCATTACTGAAGCAGTTCAGATTTGTCTCAAAGCAGAACCTCTTTTTAATTCAATAAACATCTACACACTGCAATACAGCCAACAAGTTTCAAATACTGTTTGCCAATATACATTCACAAAAATACTGTAATAAGCAAAAAGAAAACACAGATAAAATTAATTTATCCTTTGAAATCTCTTTTTGCCATTGACCACTCCAAATATACTGCAGAACAACTATAATGCTAACAATCTGATTTAAAATAAATAGCAAAATGGACTGCTAGGAGCAAACTTAAGAAGAGTCTTGCCCTGGAGACTTACATAATGAATACACTTTGCTTTGGTATACTATAATAGATCTATTTATTCTTAAAAGAAACTCATGGTTTTACAAAAACTTTGCTTGTACTTATGTCTCCCTCTCTTTAACTGCATTTTGAAGGTATAGGAAAACTGATCCAGCAAAAACTGAGGATCAAAAGTCACTCTAAAAGGATTATAGCAGATTGTGCCGCTGTTTTTTTAGGCATGTAAAAAAATTAAAAGATTTTAATATGACATCAATTTGTTCAATGCACAACTGCAGTCCAAAATAAAAAAATCAACTCTTAAATTTAACATTTCTTTCCAATGGTGTGAAATTTGCTCTACTTGATATAAATCCTGAGTGTCATGAAATGCTTAATCAAATGTATTTATAGATTCTGCTTATGTATTAGTCACTACCACATTTACCTATTATTTTCATTTTTTTACATTAATGTTTTTAACTAAATTTACTGTTTCTTGAAGTCTCTCAGTAATTTGTCACAAGCAACAGATTTTCTCCCTAGCCAGTTATGAAATGGCATACTTTTTAATTCATTATCTTTGACAGAATATATAGATGTTATTAAAATAACTTACTTATACAGGCAACTTTAATAGTGCAAATGAATTCATACAGTCACAAGAACAGCTGTTGCTTACCATCCACAATTACACATGCATTATTAAAACAGATGGAAAATGTGAGGTGTTTTTTTGGGAGTCACCACCAATGAATAATAAGATGCATCTTCCTTCAAGTGTGTCTGAAATTAATGCCCCCGATTTTTGCTTTACAGTCTCTAACGAATGCAGGAGATAAGCTTTCAATAGACCCGATCACAAATTCTTCACAATATTTTGCATCTGGTAAAGTCCGGTGTTTATTGCATCATCACAGAACAGCCCTCTGGCGTTAGAAAAAATAATTTTGAGTAATAAGACAGAACCTGTAATGCACCAACCCACCATCTTTAGTGAAATGCTACAGACAACTGACATGAAAAGAGCAAAGCATGATGACCATGCCCATGAACAGATCTCCGTAGGGACACAAGTTTTAATTAAATGAGAAAAAAGATTCTGTATTTCAGCTTCAGCAGAAGGCTGTTTTCCACACTGGGTATTGAGTGTCTCAAGCAAGACATTAAACTGAATCATCTCTTAGCTTTCTTGAGTGCTCAGGCAAACCAAATTGTTGGAGACATTACCTTCAAACCAGCCAGAGCCCTGCCTTTCCTGTACAAGCCTTTAGTCCACTTAGGGTTCATGCTGAGAGAAATCTCTGCATCACTGAGCGCTTTATCATATTCTTGCATCTTCTCATAACAGAAAGAGCGATTGCCAAAGATTCTACAAAGAAAAGATTTCAGAATCACCTTAGCACTGAATAAATAAAACTCGGAATCACAAGCTATTTTTCAGCATAATAATAACAAGCATGATTAAACATATTTGTGTAGGGATACATTATCTTAAATTGAGACTGAGTAAAAGAAAGGTTACAAATGAGAGGTGATCATTTTTAGTGGGCAGTTTTGCTGCTTACTATAGTAAATACCTAATTGTTCTGAAGGTCTCATCTACTAATTTCATGAAAGGTGCCTGGTTAACAGCTCCAACCACATGGATAGGAAGCTCGTTCCACACACCCATAACCCTTTCACGTAAAGTAGTGCCGAACTCTCATCTGTGAAAACATGTTCTCCGTTTCGTGCTTCAATGATTTTTTACTTAATTGATTTGGTCAACAATTTTAGTGGACCGGGTCCCTTGTAGTCCTCTCTGTTCAGGACTAAAAGGTCCAGCTCTTTTAAAGCATCACAGTATGAAAGTGTTCACTAAATGCAAAGGCTTACCTAAACTCTTTTGGATTATATTTAATTGCATCCGTAAAATACTTCACAGCAACTTCAAAGCGGCCTGAATTAGCCAACTGATTTCCAATCACTGCGGAAAAAACATGGTCATAAAGTTTTTGATTACACGGGCACCTCTATAACTACGTCCAAATAAGAAAAAAAAACTCTACTGGAATATGCAACAAAAAGGAGATCAGTTTTAGCTCAAGAAATACACCAAGCTGTTTTATTTAGATACATTACAATCTTGCCTTCTGCACTTCCTTAAATCAGTGAAAATCATCAATAAAACTCATGCATCTAAGAAATACACGAAGAAAAGATGCAAGAATCAGAGTAAAACAGTTAAATTATGCTTACTAACCTGCTAACTCCATACTCTTCATTATAATGTCCTTATCACTATTTTCTGCACCATTCTGCAACAATTTTCAAAGAAGATATAAAGTTAAGGTAAGATTCTAAGTATATTTTTTATGGATAATCCATTATCAAATGTAAAAAGTCTGAACTAGATTTGGCAGAAGGCATGCTGAGAACCACAGTGAAGCACATCAACTCTGCTCTCCTATGGAAAGGTCTCTGAAGGGTGCAAGGAGACAAAACATGCAGTTCTCAGCAGTCAAACTTTAATACACAGGACATATTTGCTATTGTCATTCTACTTCAAACTATTATTCTTCACTAACACACTCAACATTGAACTACTTAAGAATAAGGGAGCTAGAGATTACATTTCTCTGCCATGCGATTGTGCCACCTTTAGATATTTGGTATTTAACAGCCATAAATTCAGACCATATTAAATATGATATATTATATATACAGATGCATTCCCCGATTTCCTCTTTTTTTTATGGTATTGCATTCTCTCTTCAAAAGACATATGGTACCCCCACCCCCTCATTTTACCTTTTGCTGGGTATTCAGTTCCACCTCCGACTTCCTATCTGATCTATTTGGAGAACATTTCTTTTTTTCTTTCTTCTCTGGCTTAGGCTTTTTATCCATTTTACGTTGAGCAATGCTAGCAGCTTTAGTCACAAAACAACTATTCATGTCCAGCTCGTCCTGCGAGACAAACAAAAGTTATAATGTGACAAATCTCAACAGGTGAAGAAAGGGCAGATCCTTCAATATTTGGAGTAAACATGGTGACACTGACTTACTGCTTACATCTGAACATACATTTCTTCTAATTGCAATCTTCACTTAATGGAACATACATTCAGAACACCCTACATCACACCTAGTGTCTGATGAACACTAGAGAAAAAAGAAAGTGGTACAAAAAAACAAGAATAATCAAATGATGTCGACATGATCAGGGAAAACAAAGGTAATGCCTGCACCTGCAAATAAGGAAATGTCAAAAACTAAACACACAGTCTGGCTCATTTTATAATTAACCGATGAGCATCTTATCCAGCTGTTTCTTGAAAGAAGCCAGGGGTTTTAACAACATGACAGGGTAGCTTGTTCCACACTCCTACGACCCTTTAGATACAAAAATCTCCTGTTCTCAGTTTTAAAGGCACATCCAAATACTTTCTAATAATGTTCTCTGATGTGCACTTCACTGTCTGTATTCAGCTTGGGTAGACTGTCAGTGCCCTTGAGGGTTTTCCGACTAAAAAGGCTCAGGTCGTTCAGCCTCTAAGTTAAGATATTTCCTGGACTGATTCTAGAGCGTTGTCTGCAATGTCCACTGTGACTTTGAGGATTTGAATAACTGTCCTAGGTCTCCTCATGGTCTACTCTGTTCAGGACTAAAAGGGTTCAGTACTTCTCATCTATCACTGTAGGACATTTCCTCAAACACAGGAATATATATGGAGTTGCTTTTGTCTGGACTGATTCCAGAGCATTAATATATTTCTATAACATGATGATCAAAATTATACACCAACAGCTCACCTCTGATTCACTTTTTGAGCTGTCTTCTTGGCTCTCATCTTCCTCGCTATTTTCAGTACTAATTACACCTTTATTTTTCTTTTGGTCTGATGGTGTTGAAGCATACTCTTTTTCAGGGGATATATCTTTATTAGACTTATTTTCTTCTTCACTGACAGTGCTATTGAGCTTCTTAGATGATGCTTCTTTCTGAGAGTTTGCCTGCGCAAAATGCCATAAGAAAAAAAAAGATTTAACACAAATTGAAATGAATCCAGAGAACAGAACTATTCATTGCGTGTCAAATGATTTGCTTTCAACCAGACCTTGTTGTGTAGATTTTCTTAGAGAGAATAAATGAACACCTGCCACATATTCAGCACTAAGACAACAGAATCCAAATCCAGATGATAATCCACATGTACAAAATGTGTGGCAAAATTAATAATGGATTTAAGCATTTTTGTCAAGAGTGAACCAAGAGAGCATTTGAACAAATGGTGTTCACTACTTAAATTACAAAAATTCACAATTTGTTCAAAGGAGGCACATCGAGCGACTCACTTTTTTATTTTTATTCTCTATTTTTTCTTTTCTTTTTCTCTCTTTCTGCCTCTGTTGGAAGACAAAACACTAAGTTAGTACATACTGCATTTTCTCAAGATCAAGAAAACAGCACACTGCACCTTGAAGAAAGTAACGAAGAGAAGACCAAATAGCCTATAAAGAGCTTTTAACTTAAAATAAAATTAGATATTTTTTGAAATCATAAAAGTGGTTTTTGAAAAGCAGACTGGAAAAATTAGAAGACATCACCATGCAATTCTTCTGTTTTACTTTATATCCTTCTTGCATCTCGATGTATTTAAACAGATAATCCTTTAAATAATACCGATGATCGATATAGTTGACAAGCCAGCATAACAGGTGTTTATTACCTTGTTCTTCTAAAACAGCTGCAGTTAGTTAATATCCTTTGATCAAATACGTCAAATTGTTTTAATAAGGTATAAATACATGCAAACCCATACAGCTGAATAAACCCCTCCACATCTGATAAAAAATGAGCAGCTTAACTCTTGTTGATTTAACTCATTCTGCATCCATCTTGACTTATGAATGTACTCACCATTCTTTTAAGCTTTTTCTTTTCAGCTTTTTGTTTAACTCTTTCTTCTTCTTCTATTAATTCTTTAGCATTTTTTTCTGCTTCCTGTGGAGAAAATATTTTGACTTTTAGTCATACCACATACAGATTTGTCACAGATGTTTCCATAATTCCTCTGCTTTCAACAGAACATAAGGAGATGTGAATTAAGTACCATATTTTCACTCTGACAAAGAGCCTGAAAAAATTGCACAGGTCCTAATGGGGCAGTACAACTTTCACTGAAAACCATTATACTAATCTACAAACTAAACACTTTTAAAATTAATGTAAAAATTAAACACTTTTTCCCCCACTACTGATCGACTGCATTAATCCTAGGTGCCTTCACTGACCCTAGCAAAAATGTTTTGATAAGTAATTCTTTAAAATTGAGGCATCATCTCAATTTCTTTTACACCTCCCCCCACCCCCAGGACTCAGTATTCTTGTGAATCTATGGCACACAGACTCACCAGGACAAAAAGAGTCAGGAGCTTCCCAAACAATACAACTGTGTATTCAACATAACAAGCAGGAAAGACCTCAGCACAGCTGTCATTTGCACCCTAATTATTATCCTAAGCAAGCTTATGAAGTGAGAACGTCAAGTTTTGACAGCGGGGTCCCATTGAGCAAATCAAAAACTTACTACTATCCAGTTTTGGGGTCGTAATTTGTAAGTGGCACATGAGGAGAGTTTCGATTTAATCCAGGCCCCCCCCCCCCAAAAAAAACACAAAACTCTCACCTCGGTGGAGAAACCTCCTAGATATCTGTAATTTGTATGGTTATCAAAGCTGCTTGCTGTGGTCAAAAAATGTTTCTTAAATCCACAGTATGGTGTTTGACTATAGTCTGCAGGATTATAATAGTCATCGCTGTCGTCATCACTATTGTCATAATCATCATCATCATACCTTTCAAAATCTAAACCTGAAAAAGAGAGGGAAAACAAAACCCGAAAATATAACGGCACTGAGCAACCAGATCTTCCACTGGAACAATATTCATTAATCATAATGTTAATTTCCACCTTTGCACAGTCATTGTATATTCCTTAGAGTACATGTAAATTATTTCATTAACCCATTTATTTTCGTAGTTCAGTCTGTCAGAGTTTACTGGAGCCGAAGTTTAAGTGCTGTCTAACTTGACAGTCGTATTGCAGATTCATAAGAGTCTAAGTGAGGGAGGGTTTAGAGAGTGACTTGTCCAATCTGCTCCTTGACAATCAAACTGTGCCCCAGCGGTCATGTAAGCATGTGCTTGACAGCACCCAATTAAGAACTTAAGACCATAAATCATTAACATGAGACTCTGGTATATGGAAATAACCGATACAGATGAAACTGAATCGGGGATATAAGGCTAAAGTGGGGTTAGTATCTCTGCTTTGTTATACATCACAATGTAAATGAGCAATATAAACCCAGGACCTATAACCAGATCCTCCTTAGGCTTTTAGTCATGGCTTCAGTAAAATCCAAGGTAACCAGGGATATACAGTAATTCTCCAGTTTACATACATACAGCAGGGGGAAAACATTAGGTTTTAGTCAAAAACTCACAATTGGACTGAGTTTTTTTTCTTTAAAGGCCTGTTTACAATATTTAAAAACACCTGAGATCTGTAAAATTTACCTAACAAAAAAGGCCTGAATGGCTTGCACACAGTACTGGGAACATTTTCAGGACTGCAAGACACAAACTCCTGTTTTATTGTGCAGTGCTTATACAAACATTTACAAATAATTCGCTAAATGTTTTAAACATTTAGAAATGTTCACCCTAACCTCACCACTTTGCAAGTTGCATATGATGGTAAAGAAGTACAAACTGCCAGCAGCTATATCACCCTGCAACTCACAACTGGCAGCCCACTGAAGTAAACAGGTATGAACCTGGCCAGTGCCTGGATGGGAGACCTCCTGGGGAAAACTGAGGCTGCTGCTGGAAGAGGTGTTAGTGGGGCCAGCAGGAGGCGCTCACACTGCGGTCTGTGTGGGTCTTAATGCCCCAGTATAGTGATGGAGACACTACGCTATATAAAATGCACCGTCCTTCAGATGAGATATAAAACCAGGGTCCTGACTCTCCGTGGTGTTAACCCGGAGACCTGGTTAAATTTCCCTCTGGCCTTCATCAATCATGGCCTCCTAATAATCCCCATCTCTGAACTGGCTTCATCACTCTGCTCTGCTCCCCACTACCAGATGGTGTGTGGCGAGAGTACTGGCGCACTTCGGCTGCCATCACATCATCCAGGTGGGGCTGCACATTAGTGGTGGTAGAGGGGATCCCCATTACCTGTAAAGTGCCTTAAGTGTTCAGAAAAATGCTACACTGATGAAAGGAATTATTTTTATTATATACTTGAATGAAAAATGTCCACATGTTAATCAATCTATAAACTTGCAAAAGCTGTACATAGACTGTAAGGTACCAAAATAACAGACTGAAAACCAAACTAATTTTTGACATATAACAATTTAGAAATACAGATGGAGCAATGTAAATAACCAGTCTAAAAAGCAGTCTTTAACCTCACTTTAACCCAATGGGTTAAAGTTAAATCAGGTTTTGGTTAAAAACAGTACACTAAAGGTAAATCCCATGGATATGTTTAAAATATACTGTACATGGTGTGTTTTATCATATTTAAGTTAATCAATTATTAAAAAAGAAACCAACCATATAGAGATATTCTAACTTAGATGTTACCTTAACCAGAAGGTTGGACAGACAGAAATCCTCCTTCTATAGACTCCCTATGCACCAAGTTACACTTTGCATGTAAAAACATGAGATTACGCCTGAATTCCATTAAATTTCAATGAACTCCAATACAATTTTACTTCAGTTATAAAGTATACTTTTAAAGGTTTTACAGACAATTGGGTAACAAAGCAAATACAACTGAGTGGCCAAACAAGACAATATCTATGCTGTTTCTGCTGGAAGAAGGATTGTGTTTTGTTATAAAAACATGCTTATGAAAATTAATTGCTGGGAATATTGTTGCAGTATGTGGAAAACACGCCACAAACAGTGTTGTGTTACTAATTCAAGTGTATGTCTTTAATTACAGGCCTTAAGGTATGCGCAAACTGCACTCAGGAATGGCTATAAAGCAAAATACTGTAGAGCTTTTGGCAGCAGATCCAGGTATTGCAAAGGTTTGTCAACTAATGCAGTAGTACACAGCTGAAGCACAATTCAGTTTCAATTCTTTCCCCGCCTGACCCTTCAAAACACTTGCTTCTTCCAACTCTTTTTCCAAAATCATTTTTTTTATAGTTAGATTTTACTACCTATATTTAAACCCTGTACTCATTTAGGTTAAAAATCATCTGACAGGTATTTGACCAGTCTTGGATTTCATTTGCTGCTATTACAGTACTTAGAAATTCAATTTTTGTACCTATAAACCTGAGTAGATTATTAACCATAGCAGAATACTAATTTTTGGTACAAATTAGAAAGAACATACACATCCCTATGGTACTGCAGTCATGACATTATTTTCCCTTTTATCCCTACAATGTTTTCCATACATTAACTCATTCTGAAATGAGAAATAATCAGGGGTAAAGAGGAGGACAGCAAGGTTGGAAGAGTCTGCAGTATTTAATTTCAATTTTTAGCCAGGCCAGATTTGACTCCAATATATAATAATCGAGCTGAATTCCAATATAAAAGATTCTTAATATTTACTGCCTAGTAATAAAACTCACTTAGGCATTGACATGCCACCACTCTTTTTGAGAACTGGATCCAGTTCTCTTAGTATTATAGAATTCCCTAATGTAATTACTTACATTAAATAATTAAATCTCACCTTAAGATAAGACTATTGATCCCGAAGGGAAATTGATTAAATTTATATCAATATCACAAACTGTGCACCTTACCATACATAGGTTGCCTCAGCACTCTTTGATTAAGAATATATGGTAAATCTCTATGTTGTTCATGCCATAAATCCATCACAAGCTGCAAAGAAAGAAAAAAACTTCTTACAGGTCAAACATTCTATGATAAGATTACATGAAGACAAAGTGCAGGGGTGTTGTTCCTCATACAGGGAGATGAGATAGTGGCAGACCTAGACAGTAGATTACTAACACATTTGCCTTAAGCTCTGTGATAATTCAGGATATTTATATCCTCACTAATTAACATTTTCTGTATTCTTCTAGATCAAAAGTCATATCTGAGGAAAATGAAATAATAAAAAGCCCATTTCTAAAATCTAATCTATTTGCCTATTTGCAAAGCAACAGTAACCCAAACCAGAACAGACTGAAAAAACTACCAGACTTACTTTTGATCTAAAGTCGACTGCTTCTTCATCAGCGTAATTTGGAGTTCTGTAACCTAAAGGAACAGAAGCAGGACAGAAGAGTGCGTGTATCAAATATCAGAACCAAATCACTTGCAGTGCCGTCACAGAAGAGCTCTGCACTGACTCATTCGAAAAGGGATACTCGCCAGCAGTAACTTTCGTTTTCTATTCTCCAGCCTACCCGGGCATATTTATGAAATACAAAGTCACCTGGGTGTTCCCTGTGACAGGATCAAGAGAATAATTCACACGGACACTTTATACCTACCTTCTTGTTTGAGAATAATACACAGGAAATATACTGTATGCATCAGCAAACACGTATTAGTAATTAAGCTATAGCCTCAGTGGTCCCTCTGAGGAGGGGGGGGGGTGAGACAGGCTAGATTTTTTAGCAGGTAAATCACTGAAAAAAAATATTTTAACATTTTTGATAACAGGAGCAAGAATGTATCTTGAGAATCAAAGGGGTGTCAGGCTGCAGTAAAGGTTAAGTACCACTGACCTACGTAACGTAAGCGATGTTACATCACATTTCCAACATAACACAATCTTACACAAAGTCAAGCCTAAAGGATGTCAACTGTCTGTACAAAGCTGCAGACAGCTGAAAGTGAAGCTCAATCTCTGTCATAATGAGACTACAGGCACGGGGTTACCGCGTGGAGCCTGGCACAGAGCCTGGCATCCTGTAGGAGAGACGCAGCACCCTTCTGCCACGAGAAACTCGATCAGCTGGCTGATGACGGTGGAAAACGCTGTCTCAAGTATCACTCCAGATCTGGTGACTGAGCAGACCATGACATCTGGGTAACAACGGTGTTATGCTCATCAAAACACAGGGGGACCACTTTTGCTCCATAGATGACTTTTGATCCTAGAGGACACCCCTCCTGGCAGGACAGAAATGGTGCAGCATAGGCTGATAACGGTCACTCTATAATAAAGCAGAGATTGCGAGTGACTTAGCCCCCTAAAGGAACGGGAGCATCCCAGACCCGGCATACTAAAGAACACATCACTAGAAGCCAGGTTATCAGCTTCATCAACATGGCTCTGTAGCTTGATCCATACTCCTACCAACCTTCGTGTAAAGAATGCCTCATCTCGAGTCCTCTGGTTTGTGTTTCACTGCTCATTCCAGATAAGCCCTTAGAAGCGACAATCAATACTTTTGCGGATTCTGAATAGTTCAGTCAGGAACAGTCCCCCGTCACAGTCTTCTCTGTTCAAGATGGCCCAAGAAGGTCCGTACTTTGAGCACAGAAGCACATTGCTCTCCTCTGAACCAATTCCAGACAGGAAAGCCTTTCTCACAACATGGTGCCCAAACCTAAGCAGTATTTTAATGAGGTTGCACAAATGCAACCCTTGATTTAAATTTCTTCACTTTTTACTAAATATCCTAACATGGCTTTTGCCTGTTTTTCCTCCCCCATATGAGCTGGAAATTAAAATTAATAAACATAAGGTCTTTACCACATTATAGCTTCTTTAAGGTCTGCTTTTGCGATAGATAGATACTTTATTGATCCCGTGAGGGAAATTGCAGTGCAACAGCAGCTTTACACAGACAACACAGCCACAGTGTAACCAATGATACAATAATAATAATAGTACAATACATACAATACAATCAGTACAGTGAGGGGTGCACTAAAAGAGTTACTCACAGTCCGGACACACAAAGAACAAACTAGAACAGAACAGTACGCAGAAAAATCGGATGAAAATAAATATAGATCTAAACATAGATATAAATATAAATATATCTATATCTAAATATAGATATAAAGCTATCTTACATAGCTTTAGTTTATGTTTTTACTACCTGCATATAACACCCAAGATGCATTACATCTAAACTAAATGTCATCTGCCAGGTGTTTAGCCAGCACTAAATTTGGTCTAAATCCCAAATTTCTTTCAGAGGTTCTCAAGTGTTTGCTAATCCTCCCAAGTGTATTACTACCGGCCAAACTGATTAGTTTGCTAGTTATGACAGAAACTCTAGATCATTGATCTAATGAAAACTTCATCTTCTGATGACATTGTAGCCTTCTCTGCCACTGGGAAATACTCTAAAGCAAAGGTACCTGTACAAACATGACAGATTACATCCAAATGAGAACCGGTAGGCTTGAGATAAGAACCTACAGCCCAGTCTGGGGGGACAAAAAAAAGATTGGATGTGGAAAGCATCTAAAGAAAAGGTCGGCGCGCAAGACAAAAGCATGGGGAGTAGATTCTAAAGGTGAACCTCAAGGAAAAACAATGTCAATAGTGCAGGCAACTAAACGCTTACACCTGGGGGAAAAAAAAAGACACGATACAAAAGCTGTGGCACTTGCAGGCAATTATGATGGAATTGGAATCGCTGAAACACAGTCAACAGATGGTGACACAGTCCTAGTGCGCACACAGTGTTCCAGAGAGACAGGGAAGTGAAACACCATAAATCACACAGAACATTCAGACACGAAAACAGCCAAACTGCACCAAGGGTTTCAGAAACAACTTATAGTGTTATAGGCAGTGTTAGGAGTACGCTACAGATAACCAAATTCAGACTGAGCATCAGAAACAGTGCATTCATGCATGTTTAAGCAAAACAGAGCTTGGAATCTGGATACTGATTAGATAATAGAGAAATGAGGTACTTTAATAATGCTAAAAGATAACGAGTACAATGCAAACCAATGGAGGTTAACATAAAACCCTTCTTCAGCACGGCAACGCAAAATAAGACGTTTGTGATCATGACAAATGATCAGGAAATGACTTCAGGTGTGAGAAGAAGGCTCCATAGCCAAAAAGTTGGGTCTCTCTTCTTTTCATTTCCGCATGGAATAAACATTACTACTGACATACTGACACAACTCCCTACTTGAAGTTCATTAAAAAATATATACACTTCTAAATTGCTGGTAGAGTATTTTTGCAAATAAGATAAATCACATACAGCTTTCTATACACTAGAGCTGAGCAAATACAATTGTTCTTCCTCTTGACGGCAACTATAGTAACAATAAAAACGTCATAAGGTTTTATTTGGTGCTCAATCCAAAATTTAAGTTGACAATGTAATGGCAAGTCACTTTTGTACATTAGTAATTATGTGTTTTTCAAAATTCCTAATCTTTCTGTTGCCTTGACCGGACAATAACCTAGCAGTCTAGGCCTCTTTGTAAAGCAGTAGGAATGCAGCTGAGAGGGCCTCCCTGATAAGAGGCACATGAAGGTCTGTAACACAGACCAGGACATCGTAAACATGGCCCATTTTCAACCTCCCTTATGATGATTTGTCCAGAATTGGCACCTCTGAGTCTACACACGAAAGGCGACCAACCTGACTAAGGCCTTGGGTCATGTCATGGTCAGTCACCCAAACAATGACCAACTAATGGAAAACCTACAGGCTGCAGAAAGACATCACACCTGATGAAGTCACAACCAATCCTGGTTTGAGAGGTACTGCACAGCTCATCTTTCTTTGCTCTCTCCCCTCCTCTCACTCCAGCAAGCCCTGGCAATCTGACAACATGACCAACTAAATGACAGCAACCTCTACCGACCAAGTAAGGACTTTTAACTCTTGTTCAGGACACCAGGAGTCTGCGTGTAACTGTTCTGCCCAATTTTCTCTCTGAAACAGAAGACATCTTGTGTCTCGTGAGCCAAATCTTAATTTTGCCTATTTTTCACAGTGCGTTACAGACAGGCTTTCGTCTTTAAGTTATACGCAATGTTATTGTTACAAAAGGACAAAATTCCAAAAATACAGAGCGTGTTAATCCATAATTAATCTTAACTGCCAACTTGTAAAGTTATGCCAAGAATATACCCCAGCGGTAGGAATAATTAAAGGCACCCGAGTTCTCTGGCACAGCTCTGGTGAAGAGTAATATAACTCAAGCACACAGGTTTAACAAATATTTATGAATAATGACATGACCAAAACTTAACAGCACCCAATGCAACATACACCATACAAGTCACACCATGTCCAAAAGGCTGATCTTTTTCTTCTGTTTCCTTCCTTCTGACCTCTCTTCTCTCCATGTTTGTCTTTTCATTCTGTGCTCCTTGACTGGTGATAACTGGTATTCACTTACCCAGAGCGTAATTAATCAAGGTAAACCAGAGGATGTCTCAGGCGCCCTACCTCTCTGCCAACACCTCAGCTACTTTCTTGCTTTGAAGCTTCCAAGAACTGCAAATTTCGACACCACCCAGGTGTCAACCCTTGTCCCTACATTCTTAAAACACCTCAACAGCCATTTCCAAAAATCCCAACATCTTGTTAAAATACAATTCTTATTGTGAAATAGCGCAATGTTATCATGTTAAATAATAATACTTTCTTTGTGCTTGGCACTAAAGGGCCTCAGAGAAAAGTAACCATACACATTCCTGGATACATTCAAACCAACACTGACAAGCAAAAAGAGTCTTAAATAGAGAAAACTAAAAGAGGACCAAATTAAAGTACTCAAAACCTTCAAATCCATTGACCAAGTCAGTCTTGCGCACTTCTTCAGAACTGAAAATGAAATGCAAAGCAGAGGAAGCAAACGAAAACAAAGGCCACCTGCATGTCAAACAGGCCAGGATGCACTGCTGCCGTGACGTGGGGGCCGATGCCATCGTGCCTCCCAAGAGAGAAGTATCCATCCATTTACAACCATTCGAATGTCACAGCCTGGCTTCTCTTCCACCAGCAGCACATTTGTACTTCTAGTTCTGACTGTTGCAATAATACAGGGGTAAACAGCCAGCAGCTGCTCAGACAAGCTTTTCTCATGGCCTCAGAAAAAAAGGCCAGAAGCAGCAACATGTTCCTCTCCATGATCCATGCTGCAGTCTCCCAGGTCTCCTCGGCTCTCAGAAGCTCTTAGCCAGTGTCGGGGAAAACAACTTTTAAAAAGTAATCCATTTCGCATCGCTTAACAGGGCAACTACACACACACTAACTAGATAACCATAACAGCTTTTAACTTTCCATAATGACTTTGCAAATGTATCTCCCAAATTCTTATTGATTTTAAAAAGCAGTGTCTTACACAAGTAACTTGTAACAGATGTATTACTTTTTAAAGGCAACTTTCCCCAATACTGCCAACTGCACAGCTGCACATAATCCTATGCACTGCATTGTTATTAAGTTGGTTGCTACAATGCGAATTACACAGGTCAAAATTCCTTACTGCTGGATACTTATTTTGGACCCCATCTATACCATTCAATTCAAGCTTTGTAGTCTCATTGGGGAAATATGTGTTTGACAGCACACTTCCAAGATAACAAAGTGACAATTTTACCAATACAATAGGAGTGATCTGGGTAAACAGCATGTCTCCCACATGGAATCTGAACTCTCATTTCACACTGCCACACCCTTATAACTTCAGTATCACATCATTATAATGTTCTCCTTAAACAATTCAGACCATCCAATGATATCTGCAATATATCTGAATTTACTTCATATCTACTATAACAGCAGGTCAAAAAGGGTACTTTCCTTTAATAAGACAAGTAGTATATTGATATAGAACTTTACAATTTACCTAAAAGCTTGTTTTTGTTCTTGTTCTGGATGGACTACCTTAACAGATGACTGGTTACATGATATATACCATTGTAAACCATTCCACTTATACATCACACTTTTCTTGATATTAACTTTGAACCTTTGAGGTTAGCTCACCATGGGACAGTACTACATATTGATTAGTATTTTTCCTCTATAGGAACAAGTAATAGGTTTATTCCATGCTGAAAACAGAAGAAAGAAAACAAAACGTTTCGGCTGTGGAGCCTTCTTCGAGTGAGGACACCACGGCCGAAACATTGCGTTTCCTGGAATAAACTTACTTGTTCCTTTGCAGCCTACGCATGCTGACGCAGCTCCCCACCTGCACTATTTTCCCTATATATTCTTAAGTCTTGGACTAGTACAGAATTCCCTTTTCCCTTAATAACTCACCTGAAATGCCAACAAATCCTGCACCATGCTTAAAGCATGTCTTGTTCTTCTTTTAACCTGCACGAAATAAACTGAGCTGCATCGCGTTCACCTTAAGAACTGTAATAACGCACGAGTTTCACACAGGAGTGTCAGGTACGCGCACAGTGCTGATTCAACTGGGAAAGACAGGGTCTAAGTTTGTAACACGGGAAATCATTTTAGGATGGAATATATATATATATTTTACAATAGCCCACCAAAAAAAAGTAAGTTTTCCAAACCTGATGATACGCCGCGGAGAATTCAGCACAGGCTGGCAAAAACCAGCGTTTCCTTTCAGACGACAAAACCATGTCCCTTGAGGTGTAAACCCTGCTCGCAAGCGCACGCCACGCGTGGTGAACAGGGGATTCATTTCAATCGTCGATTAGAAATACAACACGGCGCGTATCGACAGCGAGAGGATGTGGACGTCAATACCCCCGCAATTAAGAGCAAGATGAAGAAACACCGCCTCTTCCTGACGCCAGATATCCCCAAATACACGTAGGTAGTTCTCTCTCTCTCACCCAGATACTCCGAAACTGTACGCACCAAGGAAAATAAGACTACATCAGGTTTACACACAGCTACCATTTGAATAGTTCACCCCCCCCAAAAAAAAAAGATAGCAAACAATAAAACTTTGTAACTAAAACGGCCCCGGACTCCGTTTCCTCCAGACAGTTCGGGTAACTTTAGAAACACGCAGACTCTTACCTTCCGATACTTTCCCCCTTCTAGACATTTCCGCAATTAGCATGCGATATGTTTATTAATGTAATTCAAGGCTGTGTAAAACCTCTCCAAAGGCACTTATTCCTCTTGCCGACTATCATGAGTCCCAACAGGCAGCTAACCTCCTCCCGGCCTGTTACCAGTCCGGTACAAAACGCTGCCTCCGGCCCGCGCACTGCGCATGTGCAAGAGGGCAAGGACCGCCGCGGAAGCTCAGCGCGGTATTGCGCATGCGCCTGCCCAACAGGAAATGGTCTGCTGGCGGAAAGCGTGGGACTGTCATTGTTGGGGTTGAACGCACTCCCCGGGTTTCGCTTTCTGTCATTAAGAGCGCTTTTTTTATATCGCAGGATTTCGGACTGTGGCATTGTTGAGGACCGATGGTTTGGGACTGCATCAATAAATTCCATTGTTAAGTGGAAATCGCGAGTCAGATGCCCTATGTTTAAAGCTGAATTTAACACATTTTCAGGACATATGTATACATGTTATAATATTTGAGGCACGAACTTTTCGTACGTTGTACGTTGTATTATTGTCTGTAACAAAAACACTGGTCAAAAAAAGTCTGGTCTCCATGTCAATCCTAAAGACTTTACACTCTTAGCCCATGATATACTCCCTCTCTGATTGTTCCTCATGGTCTATTCCAGTTTCTGGGAAATCTTGCTTATTCATGGAAGCTAAAAACTACTTGTGAAATAGAATTTCTCGACACATCTTTTTGAAAATAGGGGGGACAAAGGCAAATAAAATGTTAGGAAAGAAAGTTAAAAGTGCAGAATTAAAATCAAGGGAAATGTTATGTTAAAATGTGCTAGTGAGGCCTCTTTTAGAATATTATGTACTACTGTGGTCACTATGTTATAGAAAATGTATTGCTGCTGTGGAATCAGTCTGGATAAAAGCAACCAGATATATTCTGGGAATCCATGTCCTGTGCTGAAAGACTGAATAAACTGAACCTTTTTAGTCTTAGAGAAGACTACGACAGGTACCATATCCAATTTCACAATCATCAGAGGTATTGACTCAGAGGATTGCTTCAGAATGAAACATGAACAAGAGCATACATGTGGAAGTGCATTTAAAACTGAGAGCAGGAGCTCTTCCTTACACAAAGGGGTGTGGGAGAATGGAACTACCCAGCCAAATTGTTGAAGCCAGCACCATGTCTTCTTTTAAGACACAGCTGGATGAGAGTCTAGGGGAAATTAGCTACTAACTAATAATCAGACCCGCTCTTGTAGATGGGCCAGATAACAAAAGTGTGCTGTTGCAAGTCACTTACGTGGCTGCTGGACCTCAGTGGTGGCTGAAGAGGGTTCCCTCTTCTATGAGAATCACTTTACCAACGTCCGCAATTATTAAATAATGAACTAAGAGATGCAAAATCAGTCTGGGCCAAAAAATCTACATGTGCTTTAGAGAAATGTACCACTTTTTAATAGCTATTTAATCACAGCTAATAAAACTTATAGTTCAAGTCAGACCAAAAGTTAAGTGAGATCGCCTGTATACAGCAGGGCAGTGGATGGGTCAGATGTCCTGGATGGAGTCTGATACCTGTGTGGTTCCAATACGCAAGGCCCACCTTCTTATCAAAGCGCTATCTCTTGCCCATGATCTGGGCTACTATGGGAGTGCGCCTGTCGAATGAACTACATCACACCTGATGCCCAATGATTCTGCCCTTCTCTGTGGTTCCTTGCCCTTCGGTGCTGTTCACCAATGTCCATGAACAGAAGAGTTATAAATTATAAGGAAGAACGGATTTAATGGAGACTCATTTCATTAAGGAATAAAGTTGTTTTTGTCTGGAGATCGATTAAAACAAGTGGTATTTCACCTGAAATAGGTCACATGGAAACATTCTAAAGAAATAGTGAGGGGTACTGCATACAGTACTTTTTGTACAAGATCAATAGAAAGAATTGGCTTAATTGTGCTCCAGCTTCAAAGATTTCACTGCTGCAATTATTTTAAATGCTAAAATAGTAAGTTTAACTATGCAGTATTCCCATACGTTCAGTTTCCAGTCTTTGTTGTTGAGCGTGTCTTTTTAAAATATGTTTCCCTTAAGGAAACAGCATGGATCAGACATTGCTCATATGATGCGTCTCCGATCAGGCTGAGTCTTGTTCTCCTTCAAGGCAAAAGGACAGTGTCTCATTGACAAGTAAAAGCACTCTCTGCTACAGTCTGTCATGTGACATTTCTGCCTTACATTTCCTGAACTGGCCCTTTCCCAACAGGCAGCATTTGTTCCTTAAAAGCTAAGATTGGAGTTACTGCAACATGTCTTTGCTGTCATTATTATCATCTGCTTGTTATTCCCATTGCACACTTATGGAGGAAGACATACTACAATATATAAAACATACTGCAATGCCAATGTTTTGAAAAATGCAGTACAGGGATTAGACTGACACCTATCAGGATTGTGCCACCCAGTAGAGAAATTGTTTCGTATCTTGAAACATCGAAACAAAGTTTCATCAGCTCAATTAAGGGAGTATTAAGAATTAGGTGCTTAAATAATCAAGTAGATCTAGGGAGGTGAGTTTGGAAGGCCACATCCTGTATAAAGATCCTGGTTTGGTCTTCACCAACCAGGTGTGTGGAAACAAGTCATGCCACAATCTAGTGAAATCACTCAGGACCTCAGAGAAATAGTTATTAATGTTCATTAGTCCAGAAAGGGTAACTACACCATTTGTAAGGATTTTTGATCCTCCACTAATCACCTCTCAGACAGGTAGTCCACAAATGGAGTAAATGCAAGAGCAGAGTCACACCATTGTTAGATTGGCTATCAGATGAAACTCTCTACAAGAACAAGCCATAAAATCATCACGGAAGTTACAAAGATCCCCAAGTAACAGCAGGCCACTCTCGCCTTGGCTAATGTGACTGTTCAGGACTCACAAGAATAAGATCACTTTATTAACCATATACAATTTCTTGCATTAGGAATGGGTCTTTTCACATACCCCAGCTTGCTCTCCATGAGACACACAGACAGGGAGAGGAGCTTGAGGTCAGAGCACAGGGTCAGCCATTTATACAGCACCCCTGGGGTGAAGGGCCTTGCTCAGGGGCCTAAACGGAGTAGGATTCCTCTGCCAGCCACAGGATTTGAACCAGCAACCTTCCAGCCACAGCACAGATCCTTAGCCACAGTGCCACTGCTCCAGCAGTGTTCATAGCACTGAGAAAGCAAGGACTGAGATTTGTTCTACTGCATATGTGAGTACTGGGCCAGGACCCAGGCACAAGGCTCATTGTCAGAGTTTTCTGGAGAGGCTCAGAGAACGGTTGTGTGTACTGAAGAAAGAGAAATGCCACAGGCAGGATGAAAACAGCTGGTGACTGGAGAACCAAGAGAGATGGGCGCAGGCTGTCCGAAGAGGGCTTGAATCCAGCAGAGAGAGAAGCTGCCTGGACAGGGGCAGTGGAGAAAAAGACAGTGAATCCAGCTGAAGAGCAATAACGCAGGCGATCAGCGGGCTGGGTCTTCGGGAGGCTGCTGTCAGAAGTAGGGATGAAGGCGAGAGGCCGCTGAATTGGTGCTCTAAGATTAGAGCAGAAACAGGCTTCTCAAAATCAGGTAGAGAAAGTGTTTAGTCGCTTTGGTACCTCAGTGTCAGAGCACTGAGCAGTGGAAAAAGCAGTCTGAAACAGGCAGCCTAATGACCTGTTCGAGAACTGGACTGTGTGATTGAAAGGCTGGTGGCTGAACTGAGAGGCGCCCCGAGGCTGTGAACTCGTGCAGGTGTTGGGGCTACCCTGGGCAACAGCAGGACACCAGTCTATCCCAGCCCGTGCAGCAGGATTAAGATCTAAAACATTTTTAAGTGTCAAAAATTGGGAAATACGGAGAATATACCGAGGGGTGTGCAAATATTTTTCAGCACTGTAAATAGAAGCATCTGCTTGGGGCTGTGAGGTTAGAAAGATCGGATCTCCTCTCTCAGTGTTGTTCCCAGCTGTCTTTTTTATTTAATTTTATTTGTGTTACTTTATTGAATGGTTACATTTGGATTGCACTGCTTCAGAGTGAAAGAATAATCGCATGTTGTTGACAGCAGAAGGCCTTCCCCGAGTTCCTGCAACAATTTAGGTCTATGCGCAGAAAAGGAAAATAGAAAAATCTAATAATAAACATCCTGTATATTTTAGGATACAAACACTATTTATTCTTCAAATATTATATGAATCAAATATAAGAATATATATTTCTTTAAAGAGCAAGAAATTTTAATTACTTTTTTATTTTTTTCACAATTAAAAAAACACTTTTTCCAAGTTAAAATGTATTTTTTACATGCTATCCATTGGAAAACCTTCTGTTGTAGCTGCATTTTTTCTTTTTTTTTGTTTAGAGTATCTTTAAGTCCATAATTTATTATATTATGGTTATAATAATCGTAACTCGAACCATTAAACGTTTATAGTCACTTTCTCATAAGAAGAAAGATACCGCTGTCTGAAAGTCTGAAACAAATTGGAAACCCCGCTACTTTTACACTCCTGACCAGCAGGTGTCGCAGTGGCGCTGTGGAGCGCCGCGGTCGTTTTTCGAATCTCCCGCTTCAATTTCCGGGCTTTAGCAGGGCGTCCTTAGCAACCGTGCCTGGAAACGAGCGGAAGGCTCAGCGCGCATGCGCCAGTCAGTTACTGAGCAACAACATGGAGCTGCACGAAGCGGCCGCAGGGAGTGACAGCACGGTATTTAAAATTTATATTTATTCGAAGTTTGCCGAAGTGTTGGTAATACGTATCTCGAAATTATACATCTCCGTGGTGTGTAAAGTGGGGTACGTTTTCAGTGGGTGAAACAAGGTTTGGATGTTTTTTGCAGACGGTAATACCGCCGGTGTCGGTCTGCTTAAATGCAAAGAGGTTGTGTGGTTTTGCGATTTTAAATTGATCGCAGTTTGCCAGAAATCTGACTTTTCCTTCATGTTGGGGACCGCGTAACGCTCGTGGGAAACAAGGTATAACCTCTCTGGTTGCAGGTAAAAAGAAACCGTCAATGAAATTAAAGCAAACGCAGTTGAGGGGGAAAAAAGGAAAACAAACTTGTCTTTTTGTTCTTAGTTATAGAGGATGTGCTCAGACCTCAGTATAGTATTAATAGTATTAATTTATGTCCAACAGCGCTTTTACTGCCAGATGCCATCAAAAGAATGCAGGGGGTCTTATCTGAAAGCCGACCAGGTTTTGCACAACAAAAGAGCTAACATGAGCCTTAAAAAAAAAAGTACAATCAATGTAATTCAACGCCTCCACGTACAGTGTTTGACGTTTGTGTGTCTTGGATTGCCGTTGCTCTCCACTTGAATCCACTTGAGATTTGATAAGGTGCGGGTCTGTGGGGATTGTACTAGCCCGGCCTGGACTGGGGTGGTGGGCATTGGCAGTTTTCTGAGGTTAACAGAATCTGAACCGACTTACTTGAATGCTTCATCTTTACACTGATCGTGGAGAGCTGGTCGGCGTGTCAGCTGCTTCTCGAGGTCTCTTCAGGCACCAGCCCCTGAAGGGTTGGGAAAGTCTGGTAAATAATTCCTCACACTTATATAGCACTTTTCTGGACACTCCACTCAAAGCGCTGTACAGGTCAGGGGGATCCCCTCCACCATCACCAGTGTGCAACCCCACCTGGATGATGCTCCAGTCTGCTCCCCACACACCAGCTCTCAGTGGGGAGGAGAGCAGAGTGATGGAGCCAGTTCAGAGATGAGGGTTATTAGGAGGCCATGATTGGTAAGGGCCAATGGGAAATTTGACCAGGACGCCAGGGTTACACCCCTACTCTTTTCGAGAAACACCCTGGGATTTTTAATGACCACAGAGATTCAGGACCTCTCAGTTTTACGTCTCATCCGAAAGACGGCGCCTTTTTTATTACAGTAAAGTGTCCCAGTCACTATACTGGGGCATTAGCACAAACAGACCGCAGGGTTAGTGCCCCCTGCTGGCCTCACTGACACCTCTTCCAGCAGCAACCTTAGTGTTTCCCAGGAGGTCTCCCATCCAGGTACTGACCAGGCTCACACCTGCTGAGCTTCAGTGGGGCTGCCAGTTGTGAATTCACCCAATATCACCCAGGGTGATATGGCAAGTAGCTCTGATTAAGCCAGTAATGAGCTAATGAGCTATATTAGAGCTGAGTTGGAGTGAAAACCTGCAGAGACACCGACTCTCCAGGAGCTAGATTGGATACTCCTACGCTGAATGTAAAACATGAAATGCTGTCAATCAGATGCTGTGAAATGTTATCTACTTAGAACGTTTTAACAATCAAGTGTTACAATTGAGTTTCCACGCTGAGCAGTGTGTGTGCAACTGAAGAACACTTCATTTCATTTGCATGTAATTATTAAATTCAAAATACTTTATTCTTCCCAGGGGGCCACTTTGAAGATTAATAATGTTGTATCAAATCTTTATAAGCCCATGAGGGTCATACTAAAATTATGATTGAAGTTTGAGCATGAAGCTGCACCAGCTAGGACAAAAGAAAACAATTACAAATGTTCAAAAACAAATGTTCCAGATAAAGCCCAGCGGAAGAGAGCTTTGACATGTCTCCAGGAGAATCGGAAAAAATATTTGTTACAAGATGTTGAGACTTCTGGGTTTTTATAGCTGGTCTTGGTTTATATAAATACAGGAGACAGCGAGAAAGTGTCAGGAGATACTGCCCACTCCCCCGCTTCCAACAGTTTGCACGGGCAACGAAGCCCGGTATCAGCGGTTTGTCCCGGGCAACGCGGTCCTGTGTCCGAGGTTCTTCACGGGCAACGCAGCCCGGTATCAGCGGTTTGTCCCGGGCAACGCGATCCGGTGTCCGAGGTTCTTCACGGGCAACGCAGCCCGGTATCAGCGGTTCGTCAATGGCAACGCAGCCCGGTGTCCGAGGTTCAGTGCTTGTTGGCGTCGCCAACAGCGTGGTATGGAGCCATCACCTGGGAGGCTGCAGGTGTCACTGAGAGCTGAGAGCCCTACTGTCTGATTTCAACCTCATTCAGTTTTTGTCTGCCAACTGGGTAGTCCCGTCACTGTCAGCTGGTGACAACTGAGGCTCAAACCCGTGATCACAGAGCACAACCACACCTGGGGTGTGAACTTTTACCAGCTGAACCAGTTAGGAAACTTTTAAAGAATAAAGTACAGCTTTAATGTATTTTTACATTAGAGTATCTGGGTTTAGTATTTTATATTTAGAGTATCGGGGATTTAGTTTTTCATGAATAGCATATAGTAAGAATTATCAGTGCCAATAGCATGTCATGATTGGTACAGATAATAACATTTGCTGTGACATCCAAAGTGGGTAATTTAGACAGAGAAATGCATAAACAGTATTCTTTATTTCCAGTTGTGAGCAATAAGTTCTTCTTAAGACTTTAACATTCATAGCAATAGACATATCTGATTTCATCTTCGGAGTATACATGAACCAAAGCAAGATCAAGAAATTGCATAGCATAAAATATAGTATCTAACAATAATTAGCATGCTCCCCAGCAGATGATAGCAATCTATTTGATACTACTATAGATCATCGATTGCTCAAATAAATAGAAATTATGTAGACAAAGACTGCTTAACAAGTAAAATGCAATTGCAATCAAATAAATTTACTAGAGGTGTTGGTGCATGTACCCTTTCATATCACTTTGAACTTAGTTCAAATTAATTTAATTATAGATCTTTCAACACATTGGAACGATTAACAGTGTCTATATTTCTTACCTGCACTGTAGAGACAAGGCCTCATAGGTCGCCTCAGCTGGACGTCTATACCCTGGTTCCACAAAGTTCTCGAATTCAGATGCCTCCTTCAAAATAAAGTTTGCCACCACGTTTGTGCTTCTCAAAGCTAGCACTGTTTACAAATTGACACATTTTATTATTTTTGTTTTAATGTCACTTCTCTGGTGTACATGCAAATTTTCCACCAGCACCTGCTTCTCCAGCAGACCGTTTAATCTGAGGTTTTCTGAGAGGGCCGTAACCCCCCTGGCCCTGTCTGCTGTGTCTCATTTTCACAGACAGTCAAGCACCTGCTACTCCAAGAAGAGAACATGGTTTTGACAGTTGCTGTAGGATGCTCCAGAGAGACAAGAATAGTTTGTAACCTTAGAGATCCTGATCTGCATACAGATTTAAGATGAGATAAATCAAAAGCTTTCTGAAAGCTTAATATATGAAAAGCTGCTTGCATTTTACAAATCAGTCAATCCGAGAAGTTAACTTCCACCTGCGATAAAACAAAGGGACTGACGATTTTAGTTAGCACCCCTCCCCCCCAACCCCAAGTTCAGCCATCATATTGATAAAAGAATCTGAGAGAATACCTCTTGTTGATATTTCAACAGTTAAAGGAACCTGAGGGCACGAGTGAAAACTAGGTGAAAGTGCATTTAAAACCGAAAACAGTATTGACCCAAAGGCAAAGGGTTCCAGTAGTGTAGAACAACCTACTCAATCGCAGGGTCGAAAATGATACTCTGCTTCTTTCAAGGAACAACGGGATGAAAGCTTTGGTTCGATTGGCTGCGAGCTACCCAACAGGCTTGGCCTCGTCTGGTTTGCAGCCGTCTGAAGTAGTCCGAGTGCTCACAGTCACCTCTCCCCTGTTCTACTTGCGTTCAAGATCAGAGTGGTGCCGTTTAGACAGACGGTCTGCACGGTGCGGAACTAATTTGTGAAATGCCGCTGTCCCATTTCAGCCCATCGCCACAACGCCTCCTGCCTCCCCTGCCTCGCGGCTCAGCCGGGCCGAGGAGCTGAGGAGCCAGAGCAGCAGCCCAGGCAGTGGCACACACCTGTCCAGCACCAGCGGTGTCTCTCTGGGGGAGGCCATCGTGCAGAGGGCCAAGCAGGTACTCTCCCACCCTGGCTTTCCACAGCTCAGGAGCTCTCCCCTGGCCTTGCTTAGCAGTCTATAGGAGGTCTGTTTTCATGTATCCATTCGTCCGTTTTCTTACCACTTTATCCAATTACAATTCGGAGTAAAAGGCAAAAGGGATATAACTGACTGCCAAGAACATACAGTAGGGTAAAAGTACAGGGAAATGGAATACTGATTGCTAGTTAATAAATATACTTAATTTTCACACTGAATAAGTAACAATAAAAATACTTTTATTAATTATATATATTGTATATAATGTATGTCTTACATATCTTTTTATTTATGTATGTATTTATATATATTTTTTAAATTCCAAGGAACATCCTATCAGCTTGGCTAAGTTTGACTTCAGAGTCTATTGCTGAATGTGAAAATGAAAACCCAGTAACCTGCTGCTAAGGAAAAGCAGGCAAATTTGAAGCTGCAGGAAAAGAGAAATTCAGTCAGAACTATAGCACAGAAACTGGGCAACCCAAATCAACAAATGTGAATATACAGAATAAGAAAAAAATGAGCAAATAAATGACCCATCAGCCAAGTGGGGGTTGTCTTCATTTTCATTTGAAGACAAAAAATCAGAGCTCTCGGGAAAAACCCTAAACTAACTGTCAGTGCAATTGCCAGCAATCTCCAGAATCCAGTGATGAAGATTCCAATATCCTCAAACTCACAGAAGATAGAAACAGCAATGTTACTCTATATAGGGTACCCGGAAAATATGAACCTCTTATCAGCGCCAAGAACAGAGAAGAAGCCTTATTAGATTTTGAAAAATTCTAGGCTGGCCAGGACAATTTACAGATTCATATGCAGCATTTTACATTTCAAAGAATCTGTTGAATTTGAAGAACACCCCAAGAATAGGCACGTAGCATTTGAAATGATTACACAAGGAGTGTGGTGAGCTCAGTGGGCTACAGACATCCACGACAAAGGCACCAGTTTCGATTTTACTGGTGCATATTTCCCAAAACATATGAAAGTTACTGCAGCTATTTAAATGTATTGGTTTTCATTTGTCTTGTGTTTCAGGGTAAATATGCTATATAGACCAGACCAGTAAGGTCATGCTAATGAGCATATAGCCATACAAACCCTCATATTGAGTTTTTATTGTATGCTGCAGTAAGTTTTGTAGCTGACTTGTAGCTGTCTTTATTTGTTCCAGATGATTTGTCGGTTACCTCCTGTGTTTTGTGTGCGTGTGTTTTTTGCTGTTCTTAATGATGTTTGTGAAGTATCGTCTTTTTGACAGGAGAGCAGTGTGAACCCATGTGCTGTCTGCCGTGTTTCAGGGTATGGAGTCATGGTACCAGTTGCCAGCAGAGGGTGATGTGAGCCGTCTGACGGCAGCCTCTGTGACCAGGCTGGATCAGCCCTCCTGGCCAGCTGAAGAGCACACAGCCCCCGATTCCCCCCCGCCGCAGGCAGGGATGATCTCCACAGCTGACGAAGCCAGACAGCATCAGGCTAAAGAAGTGCAGGCTTCACAGCTAGGTAAAACACAAAGTCACCACCAATGAGGTTAATTAACAAGTCCAAGAAGAGTAGCTCATAAACTGATTTGTTCAGACGTGAAGGATTGTGTAGGTAGTGTTGTTTTCATCATGTGAAAAATGTATTGGTGAAAAAGTATTGAATTACTAGAAAAGTTGGCTTTTGAAGCATTTCTCCGTGTACTGCTATCTAATCTACTGCATGTATTGTAGTTCTAATCTATTCTGACCAAGAGTTTGTGTTTAGGATAAATCTCTCTCCTCCTCACAGCTTTTCAAGATAGCCGTCTGTCACCCGCTCTTCCTCTGCTCCCTGGGAAAGCCACAAGCCTGCCAGATGACACTTTCTTTCAGCAAACAGGATTAGAGTTTGCCCCCCTCAGGTACAAACCATGCCTGATGATTGTCTGTGCCCAAGGTAGAACTTGGACAAAAACATTTGACTTGCTATGAAAAGTTTTAACAGAAAATATTGTATTAACGCATGTTATTTCTATACCGATTACAGGATTTATAAAGCAGAAATACTCTGCATATCGCAAACTGGATGAAATTTCCTGATTTAATTTGCTAATCCTTGATTTAATAACGGTATGAATCTGTGACTGTATGAAGTGTTGAAACAAAGCAGCAGACAAATAGAATGCATTGGAAGGTGAAGTGTTACCATAGAATGTTTTGTTTCACTTTAGTCACTTATTCATTCCTAAATTCAAGCTCACAATCACCAAATGTAATCGCACTCTCTTCTGGGAGTGTGCTATAACCCATCGTTGTTATTGAAGCCAGTACTCAAGAAACAATCAGGTTGCTACTAACAACTAAACTAACAAGATAGACCTCATTGTAAACCGTTCTTGTGCTCTTTTCACTGTGTTGAGAAACTTTACTATGTGCATTCCATGTTATTATAGGGGATCTCCAGATATCTCTGTCATGTCTGAACGGTTCGCAAGACCACTCCAGATGAGTGATGCTATTCAACTTGCCATTACTGAGGTCTCTGAAGACTTTCCCGGCGACCACCCTTCACTGTCCCAGCATCCATTGGCTGTTACCACAGTTATGGGTGATGATGCCAGCAGCGTGTGCTCTTTATCCCAACACACTCTGTCACCATCGTCCACCGATGAAGGTGTGAGCAATTGTGAGAAGGCCCCAGAGGAGGAAATGGAAGAGGACCGATTTTCAAGACTTCAAGTATCTCTGTCCAGAGCTGAAGAGCAGCAGGATCCTGCTGCAGAGAAGCATGCCTCATCTGTTGCTTCCCTACTGGACAAAGTGGTACATGGGCCGTTGGAAGACGATGGTTCATTCTTAAACAGTGATGTTCCTGCTCCTCTTTTACTGGAATTGCTAGAAAAAGAAGTTGGCTTGTCAAGCAGTGGCACATCCTCATCCACGTCTGGGAACTCTTCAAGCCAGATTGAAGTTGTGGTCAGTCAGGGGCTAAACACAGGACATTCTGAGCATTTTATTGAGGAGTCAGTAGAAAAAGACATAGCACCCGATGGCTCGGGGGAAGACTCAGTGGTGCCAAAACCTGATTTGTCTAGAAGTTCCTTAGAGCAAGAATCTTTCAGAGTGTCAAGAGATTTGTCTCCAGGCAAAACTTCATTTTCATCCACAAAGCCTGCAGAGAATACTAAAGACAAAGCTGAATTAAATGAGTCAGACAGGTGTGAAAAGTCCAACATCACTACTCGCTCTTCTCATACAAAGTCATACGATGAGTTATCTGATGCCCCCTGTGAGCAGCTATGCTCTGAGAGTATATTTAGACCTTTTCAGTCTTTGTCTGATTCTAGAAAAGTGCAGAAAGATCCTTTACCACCAAACAGTGAGACAGTCACCCCAAATACTGGATCCCTGGGGACATACAGTGGAAAAGACAGCATCATTACAGCAGTACCAACTGGCATTGGCAAAACTGAAATATCATTGTCATCAGGATTCAGCTGTGAGAAAGGACAGAAGGAGACAGAGCTGTCAAACTCAGGAAGTCATATGGCTGTGGAGGGATCTTTCCTGGGATCTCTTGCTCAGCCAATTTCTCATTCAACCCCAGGTGTGATTGCTGGCATCCCAAGAGCCAGTGTGCAGCCAGCTTCTGCAAAGCTGTCCCCAATTGAGTCAAATCTTGAAGCCTCTGCAGAAGCACCCCATTGCAGCTCCTCTGACACAGGTCTTGCTCCTTCCAGTTTAAAAGATGTGGAAGAGCCAACCAGAATTGTTTCTGGTACTGGAGTGGTTAATGTTGCTTCTCATCAAACAACAAGAAAGATTCATTCTTTGCCTGCTCTGAATTATATGGAGAAGGTAGGAGCATGGAATGTGACTCAGTCAACGGGTAAAACATTTTTTGACCACTTGGCACTGAAAGGTTTCACTGGGGTTTCTCCCAAGAAGAAGGCCTATGATGCCATTGCCGATTCATTAAATCACATTTTTTCCCAGCAAAAAAGTGACAAAACACCATTGCCATCCACCTCAAACATCAGCAGTCGTAGTCCCAGAAGGAACCTAGCCGCTTCGTTTTCGGGAACCTCATCACCAGCCAAAGAGACTCCTGGCAGTGCAGGAGGTTTAGGAAGGTCCTTGTCTTATACGTCCGTCAGTACTGTAGCCAAAGAGGTTCAGCAAGCTGGAGCTCCTGAATGTGCGAAAATGGAAGAGTCTCGCTCTGAGTTTGGCCAAAAGAAACACTGTGCTTCAGCAGAAGAAGCAGCCAGCACCTCAGTTGCTCAAGACTCATCTGCAGACAGATCTGCCCATATGGTGGTTAGGAAGAATGTGTCAGAGAGTTACAATGTTCCACTTCTCACTGAGCCACTTGTTTTATCAGAGAAGGGGTTGTCCACCTCCACTGATAAAGACCGATGTTGCACACAGAGAGTGAAACAAGGAAAGCTGCTGGAATTGGAGAATTCTTCCCAGCCACCTTCGCAGGTGAGCTTAGGCAGATTCAGTGATGTATCTGCAAGCCAAGACCTAAGCAACACACTGGCCAGTTCACAGGACACAGTTCCCAGTTACCGTGGTCAAAGAAGACAGTCGGCTTCAACAGGAGCAGTCTCCGTCTCCTCGCCTGTTAGTTTGGAAGTAGATAACTATGCTCCATACTGGGCCACCAATCCTTCAACGCCAGCAAGAAATAAAGAGTTAAACATAGAAGAGAGAATTCCAGTAAGTAGAATGGTTAAAAATATCATATAGTTAAGATAAAAATAAATGTTTCTATTGACAAAAATGGGATCGATTATTCTTGTAGATTAGGTAGACTTTTAATTTTTTGGTATCAGAAAACATTCATATTCCTTTGCAGTATTTTAATTTGATTCTCATCAAAATAAATATACAGCTGTCAAGATAAATCTGCCCACCATTAGATGCACAAATGCTTTCTTAGGTAATATTGGGATTTTGGGAATTTAGTAAGGGATACATGACAGTGTAAATTGACATGGAGATTTTTTCTAAGTTATGCATAATCGTAATGACAAACATTCGTTATTTTTTCCTGACACAACAATAAACTTGAATTTTGAGAAAAAATGTTGCACAGAAATATATTTGCGTAACCATGCAATTCCCTCTTCTATAGCTATATTCTCTTTTCTTGACTTGTTACGTATTTTTATTCAGTTGTAGTGTGAAACAAATACCCTGACAATATCCCAAAGTTAAATCATTAAACTTTGAATCTTTTTTTTTGGAGATGTACCTTCAAAATCTTGGAATTGACCAATCACCATCAACTATACTTACTCCGTTTGTGCCAAAAGGACCCATAAGAGAGCCAGAATTTTCACCAACTGATCTTCGCACAATAAAGGGTTCGACAGGAACCCCAACGAAGAGCACACAGCCCTCAGAAGGTAATGTTCCAGGAGATAGTGTGCTGGAAGTAAACAGACAAGGCACTTTCCAAATAAGAGAAGATCACTTTATTGTCCGCATACAATTTCTTGCATTAGAAGTTTGTCTTTTCACATACCCCAGCTTGCTCTCCATGAGACACACAGACAGGGAGAGAGAAGCTTGGGGTCAGAGCGCAGGGTCTGCCATTGTACAGCGCCCCTGGAGCAGCTGGGGTTAAGGGCCTCGCTCAGGGGCCCAACGGAGTAGGATTCCTCTGCTGGCCGTGGGATTTGAGCTGGCAACCTTCCAGCCACAGGCGCAGATCCTTAGCCAGAGAGCCATTGCTCTGCCCCTTTTTTTCAAGATAAGATGAATTAAAAAGCACAATAAAAAATTGTAGGTAGGGATTACCTACAATTGTTTATTATCTTAAATACCTTAACGATTAAATACCTTACAATGTTTCCATCATTTATCATATTGAAAGTGGTCTGTTAGTAATTAAACATAAAAAGTAAAACCTTTTGCTGTAATGCTTATGTAAATTATTGTGTGATTGTTTTTCTGGATTTTGGATACAGCAAAAAGGATATACATTGAACTTTATGGGAATTTTCTGTTTGAATTTTCACCTTATGAACAGTTTTCATGGAATAAATTACATTTGGGGATTGACTGATGCCTGTATATAATACTTGGTGTGTATTATAGTGTTAACATACTCATCAATTACATGATTTACAAAAATATCAAAAGACAAATTGGAGTTTTTCAGTTATTAATATCAAACATATTTCTGTTATTAAGATCATTTTAATAAAACGTTAGGATGATATTTGGAATTTTATACTTGCTCAGTACTTTTTTCACTTTCTCAGAAACATAATGAAAGAATAGATTAATTGAAGTTATCTGATATTCATGTAGTATACTATTTGGTAAATATAATTTTGACTTGTATATGTATCAATGGATCTGACTATGTATCTAAATGTTTTCAAGTCCATGAGAAGAAGACTGATAAACTTTATTGGTATCATGATATATATACAGTATATTTTATATTGTAATATGTATCATACCTTGATGTATTACCCATTATTAATAATCACTCTTTTTGAACTATTTCGTATCTGAAATCACATAACCTTGATTTCAGAACCGCTAGCCCAGAAATGGTTTTCATGATCTGTCTTGTGGCATTCAGTGGCCATTACAATTAAATTAAAATCCATCTCTTTATGCTAGAAATCATTATGCAAAACCAGCTAACAATGATGTTATGGAATATGAAATATTCAGGCTTCTAAATAATGTCTAATATCTAGTATTTAATCAAAATGTAATGAATTGGTATTCACCAAAGGTTCTTGTTGAAGAACCTTTCATTCATGTAAAGGTGAAACAAAGTATATATTGAGAAATTATTTCTTTATTTTAAAATGTTGAACATTTTTTACATATTACTGTATGTAACAACTTTGTTGTGCAACGTGCAAATGTGATTTTAGTTTTAAGTTTTAAGTAAAAATCCATATGCACTGCATAGCAGATTAGATATCTAACTGTATTTTCACATTTTAATCTCTATTATTGTCTTTTTTTAGGTGGCAGTCCTGCGAAAGGAGACTTTTCACAGTCTAGTTTGTTTTCTGTGAACTCTACTAGCCTGTCTGTGCCATTGAGTTCTGATGTAGATCGTGAATCACCATTGCACGCTGAGTCCTCTGTGCAGAACGTTGCTGAGTCTTCTTCAGACAAACCTGTCAGTCAGTGCAGCCTTCAGACGGCTTTCCATCCACTGGATCGCTCTTTGGATCTTCGAGGAAAACAGCCATCGGACGATACCTCACAATGCAAAGAGACCATCAGCGCTGAACCTTTTTCATCTTCAGAGGCCAGGCAGCGCTTGAATGGCAACAGTGATCATGTGATTTCCTCACGTGTGCAAAAGCGTGTTAGTCAGTTTCAGCCTGGTGAAATGTGCGTCACTCCCGATAGTCTATCCTCCTCCTCCTCTCTTGCAGAGAACGAACAGCAAACTGGTCCTCAGGATACAGAACAAAAGGAAGCGTATTACTTTCCAAAGGTCACCCATACACCACCGCGATGCAGCCTGGATCTGGGGAATGACTCTTTTGTTGGGACTAAAACCCTGCAGGAGATCCGAAAACTTTTGGGCCAGGCAGAGAGCATCGTGTCAGGAAGGTCCTCCTTCTCCTCGCCTTCAGCATCTTTAAGAGGCTCTGAAGACCTTTCTTCATTTCTGCAAAAGAATTTAGACAGCTTCCACGATTCTCTTGCTTCTTCTGAAGAAAATCATGAGAGCCACTCATCACTGCTGTGGAGGAAGTCCTCCTCCGATTCCATGCTCACATTAGACGGGCTGAAAGGCAGTTCCTGGCAAGAGGTACTACAGTCACCCAGGGCATCTGCCAGCAGATCTGTAATTACTGCAGAGCACGAAAGAGTCTCCAGTGTAAAGACTGCAGAATCAACATTTCTAAGCGATGCCTCAAAAGAGTTCACACAGGGGCGTACATGCTCTGTTTTCACAGCCAAAAATGTGAGGAGGTCTGAGCCTGAAGGCTGCAGTGAGGCCACTCAGGATAAGGTGGTTTCAGTGCCTGGTCCTGTAGCGCATTCCACAGAGGCAAGCATCAAGGCTGTGGACGCTGGGGACCGCCATCGGGACCCGACACCTGAGCTCGCTTTACCAAATCCTTCTGTGAATGGAGTCCCGGCAGAGAGCAGCCACTCCTCTGACGGCAGGGAAGGGGCAAGGGCCGCCGCAGGCGAAGACAGCAGCAGTGTGGATTCCCTGGCGGGCCGCGTCGCGGCTCTCCTGAAAAACGAGTCGCCGGCCACGGTGGCCTCAGGCGTTGTGAGCGAGGCTGACGAGGAGGAGCGCAGAGCTCGAGGTAGGGATGGGAGAGCGGGAGTTTTCTGGGCTGGGGGAGCAGGCACTGGAACTGTTTTGAAATCATTATCCAGTACTTGCAAAAGTGGATTAAGCCATTAGAATACCATTTTATGATTAATTAGTATAATAAATATTATTTGTTCCAAAACAGTAATATGTTATGCATGTACTATGAAAAGGTAAATTGCTTTTGTTCTTTTTCTCTGGAACTCTGGAAACAGTAGACAAAGAATCATTAAATGAGCATTAATATACACCCCCTGTTGGGACCTCTAAACGTATATATTTTTAGACATTATTGAGAATTGTATCGTGCAGTTTAAAGATTATTTCAAAAACTAATGAAGATTTCGAGAATCTTTGAAGATCATAATTTGTTCTACATTACAATTTTCTAGGCAAACATATTTGAAATTAATACAGTTGTACAGTATATACTATACTGTAGCTTGTGATAGCATATTATGCTTTTTTGTTAAGTGGTATGGACTGCCAGGGAACAGTACATACACAGCTATAAAGATTAAGCTTTTCTAGGGAGGAGGTGAAACAGATTACCTAATATCATATTTCCCTACCATAATATCTATTTCGTTTGGTGCATTCACAGTATAAGATTATTTTTCCGCATTTTAAACGGTGGTATCTGCATTTTCCTTATGTGTGTGGTTTCAATTCTTTTATGTTAATTGGTATTCCATTTTAATATAATTTATAAAAAACTACCAGCAGATGTGTCAGTTTACCTTGATTTGCAATTTTGTTTCAAGTTTATACAAGTTAGATATTATGTATTTATCTACCACATGTATTTCTTAACTTTCATCTTCGTGTAACAATTTAGAAACGTGCTTATAGAGAAGTGTACCGTTAGTCAATGTTAGAATGACTACCAGTTGCACGTTGTTTGGATTTGTTAGAGTATTTCAGTCAGGTGTGAGTGGCAGGTATTGGTATTAGAGTACAAGGCAGGAGATTTTCAATCAGTGATTGAACATTTCATATTCAGTACAACCTTGTGTCCTTTTACTTGGATGCCAGTTTTTCAATAAACATTTTACAAATAAATATGTACCTTTGGGGGGAAAAAACAACGCATGTGATGATAAGTCTACATATTTCTAGAAAAAAAATGCTGCTATTTTGAATGAATGAAAATGAATATTTTCATTAATCAATCTAAGTGTATTTTACTATGTAAAGTTGTTCTTGTCGGTATGGTGCTATGGCAATACAGATTAACTCTACATACAGTAGTACTGTAAAATGATAAATTCCCATCTTGGAAGTACTGTACTTCATAATTTTATTTCTGCTTGTTTTTAACTGCAAATCCCCAAATTGCACAAATATGTTGCGCTATTATGCATGATGTATTGGAAATCAAACGTATAACTTAATTCTAATGTATATGAAGTCCTATCAGTTACACAGCCATGAATTCTGATGCTCTTAGGTGAGTAGGATAAGCAAGACAGTGCCTGATTTGTCTTGGCAGAACAACATGCTGTGACAAAGATGTGTTAGTGCATCATTACATGGCTGTCAGATATAATCCATACCGATACGCTGTCCTTTCCAAATGAAGTACAGGGGGGTCCCTGTTGTAAGTCCTCCTGATACACTTTTACCCACACTAACACTGACAAGATATTAGGTACACTACATCGATGCACTTATATTGTTTATATACATAAAAAATCCAGGATTTGATTATAATATGTTGTTTTCGGCTTAGCGCCATTCGTGTAGAAAAGGTTTTGTATCTCGTATTTTGCATGGCTGATGTTAAATGTAAGCCACTTCTCAAGGTAAGGTCTAATGAACAAGTTAAGTTTTTAAATTTTGCTTAAAATGCTTTAAATTATTGATTTATTAATTAAAAATTAAATTAATGATTAATAAGTCAAGATAAAAATGAGTAAAAATGGTTTAGAAATGTAGGTGTACTGTACTATTTTGGGGTAACTACAAGTGAAACATGCGTTTAGTGTAACTCATGGTCTCTAACCCTACTATGCTCCATTGATTCTTACTGGAAAAGCATTTCCTATCTTTAAGTTTTTTAGTCGCATGGACAAAGTTTACGATCCCTTTTTGGAAGGTAGGGGGTCACGGGGGTAAAAAAACAGACAGGTGAATTTTATCTGGACATGTGTGTCAAAAACAGACTGCTAAGATTTGTATGTAGCACCCCTGTCTTAAATAAATGTAGTTTGTGGATTTTTCTTTCATGTTGCCCAACTAGGAATCTACAATAAAGCTCTTCTGCTTGGTTCAAAGCTAGCTTAGTGTGGTTGGCTCACCAGTATTTTCTCTTGTGCTTCCAGACTGGATTAAACTAAAGGTTTCTGGGGAGCAGTGTGAGCCTCTGGAATTGAATATGGAAGATCGACAGAAAATAGAAGAAATCAAAGCAGAGCTCTTACGAAACACAAAGAAACCTAGTGGTGCAATAAAGGTAACCATTTTTCAGATACTGGACTGTCTTGATTGTAACGGACGCAAACATCACTTATGACATCATTTGTCCAAGCAATTTATGCTTAGTGTCAAACGTCACATATCACTTATACCTGTGAGAAATTCTCAAAGAAAATCACTTTTTTGTAGGGCACTGACGTTAAACATAACATGGACAAATTCATTATGCTGATTTTTATATTTGTTATCGATGAGGTTGATCAACAGGGAGTCTGGTGTGAAAGTTACAGGCTCATAGCATTGTTCGCTTTGTACAGAAGTGTCAGACATATTATACATTAAAAACATTTGTCATCTGACAAGAAAGCTGTTGTTACTCATGTAGCATAAGGGCGTGCATTTCCCTTCCTGTCTGGATGAGCCCACAGGAACAGCAGCAAGTGATGTCTTAATCAGTGTAGTGCTATGCAGTCAGATTGCATTTAATCACTACAGGTTGAGTTCTGTAGCGGCTAGACACTCCTGCCCAGCCTGCACCCTCCTGGACCTCCCCATTGGTCTTGCGAAGGAGTTGTGATCGTGTCCCTTCTCTCACACACTCTCTGACTGCAGTGTCTCACCGACTTAGAACTTGCAACTGTGAATGCCCCAGGTGACAATGTGCTGAACTAATCCAGCCATCACCGTGCCAATAGCACAGTGGCATTGCACTTTTTAATAGTGGAATGTTTTGGATCCTTTCTGTGTTTTTCTTGATTTAAACCATGCTTGACATTCAACATCTTCAGTCATCTCATCGCCTGCTCCCATTAATCTTTCTCACTGCTGAGGTGATTCAGTACTTATGTAAGCCATTCAAGTGTAACACAGTTAAATTAGAATGATGCCAAAATTTAGTTACTGTTAAAAGCGGCGTACTTTATTTGCCTAAAGTCATACATGTTACTATAGTGATAGATTTCTCTTGATTCTCTGTATATAGTATAATCATACCACCAGTAATATCCACAGGCAGCTGTGCTGTGTTTGTAGAGTCAGAACAGTTCAAACGAGAGGTCATTTGGCCCTTCTAGCCCATTTGATTGTTAATAGCTAATTGACCCAAGGATACTGTCTAGTCTGTTCTTGAAGGGAGCCAGATTATCAAGATCAACTACATGTCTGGGTAACTAGTTCTACACTCCTACAGCCCTTTGAGTAATGAAGTGCCTCCTCTTCTTGGTTTTAAATGGATTTTCACATAAAGAGACTGAAACGAAGACGTCCATGCCAGGAGCAACGGGTTATTATACCATGAAACATTCTGCTCATAAAAGGACATTGCTGTGTCTAATTTACATTTAAGCTTGTTTTCAGTATGAAGCAGTGCAGAAAAAGAATATGCCATTCATACTAATGTGGAGCAGGTACGCAGAATAAACAGCCTGTCCGTTCTGACAAAGGGAATATGTCCAGACATGTCTCACCTTGACCCACTGATAGTCAGTTTCCCTGAGAGTTTCCCTCTCACAGCAAGCTAAAGCAGATGCTTATTATTTAGGGGTTTCGTGATCAATCACAGTTTTTTTGTTTGAAATTTAAATATGAGGAAAATGAGCCCTTTAGTCACGCTTTTTGTGTATGGTAATTAAGAGTAGCTTTGGCCGACTAAATAACATTTTTGATTCCTAATTTTTTATTTTTAAAACACTAATGACTATTTTTAACATCTGTGTAAATGGTACAAAGATGTGTTTTGGAGGGAATCTGAGCCAGTTATACTGTACCTCTGTGATGTGCACCACTCAAGTGCTTTTCAGTACACTTAACCAGGTTGAGGTATCCTTAGAAAGTTTAAGGAACTTCTTGATTCATTATGACTGTTTTGTAGGAAGCACGAGTATTGATTATAAAACTTTTTAAGGAATTTCTAGGGTAGAAAAGTATTTTTTCCAGTGTTTTGGTTAAATGCCAGGACTTCATAATAATCCATTGCTATAATTAGCCTGGTAATATAATAATTAGCAGGAAACCTCATCTCTATCAGTAGAGAAGACAACTAAAGAACTTAATAAAATTCCATTTTGATTCGTCACATCCAGCTTTCACTTACATCATAACATTTATTAACAATAACAAAAATAAACTTCGTAAGCTGACTATACTGTACTTTCAGAAATTAATTTATATTGTATTTATTGTAACAGGTTCTGCTATATGGAATGTATTAGCATCAGTCTGAAGGTAATAACTAGGATGAAATGCTGGTCTTAGCATGCTTACATTTTTACTCTGTTTGCATCTACGTGTGGGGGAGGTACCTGCCTTTCAAGTATGGCATTTGATATTGGTTTAGTGAACAGCGTTGCTTGAAAACTGGAACCTTTAATGATATGTCTCGAGGTCACTTTGTTTCCCTTGACAATTTAAAGCATGGGTTTGCAGTGGCGTTGCACTCTGTGTGTTTACATTAGCCTGAGAGAACATATAAGTGCTTTTTTATTTTCGGAGTGTTTCATCATATTATAAACTATAGAGGAGTTCAGAAGCATAAGGTAAGAGTTTTTTTCTTAATTTGTCGTTTGTACATTCAAACAACTTCTCATTATGTGCCCAGATCATCAAAAATGTCTGTACAGTGTCCATTAGAATCAGAATCAGTGGGACAATTATAACTGCATGTCCCATTTAAGAATTGTGTACAGTATTTACAGTATATGTTCATGTTCTACGTGTCTGCACTACAGGGCCAATGGAGTACAGATACTGACTCAGATACCACATCTAGCACGGTTGCAGTTACTGGGGTGCTGCCTTCACTGAAACCTACAGAAGAATTTTGTGCCCTGAACACTGCAAAGCATCAGATCTCCAGTCAGCTGCAGAAACTGTCCAGCAATCCTTTCAACACTAGTGTGGAGCTCCACACTCCACTTCGCAAGGATATGGAGGCACGTATTCGAGAAATTGCTCAAAGAGAGGGCCTTAGTGCGTCTCAGCAGGTGGCCCATGAAACTGGCAGACCCATTGTATCCATCACCTTTTCCTCCCGTAAGCGTTCCCCCTCTCCTGCATCCCTCTCTCCCCTTCTGAGTCGCGCGTCTGACGTGGCTGACCACACAAGTGTCACCAGAGATGAGGATTCTCTGGTGGAACCTGTAAGGCTCACAGAGCTAGACAGAAGACAAGCAGGCAGCCTTCAGCCCCTGACAGCAACAAAAGAAGAAGTACAAAAAGTCAGATATTCCCATCAAGGCCCTGGAAAGGGGCAGCCATACACGGGAAAATGTTCAGGCACTGATGTCGAGGACGCTGTCAGTGAAGTCGAGAACATTTCCTCAACACAAAGGCCTGTGGCAGTTTCAGAGTCAGGCTTCTGTTCAAATAACCCTGTCTGCTTAAGAAATAATGCTTGTACTGGACAAGGTGAAGTTGATTCACTAACCGAGCCTGATGTAAATTCTGGAAAGGATGATCTGACCCTGTGTTCTACATCAGGGTATGGTTTCCATCACTATCAGCTTGGATTTGATGCACATGTCGAGTCAGACCTGAAACCTCCTGAAGTGTGTGGCAGCCAGACAGAAGAACAGAGGCAAGGCTCTCCTGGCACCACTAATGACAGTCCTTTTGTCGTTCTTCAGCATGCTGTACACAAAAGCCCCGGAGCACATTTTCATGTAAATGCAACTCGATACAGACAGTTGTCCACATCTACCCCTAATATAGCCCTGGAGGAAAATGCATCAGCCAGTCTAAAGCCTAGTGCATTACCTTTACAAGTTTCATCATTTGCCTCTGGTTCTTCTTCAGTCTCTTCACCCACCAAAAAAGTCCTGTCATATGTTCATGTGACTCTGTCACCCAAACCATCCAATGAAAAATCTATGTCCACTGATGACAGACATTTTCAGTTTGGCACTTTTCCACCAGAGAGTGATTATGCTGAGTTTTTGAAGACGTCTGCTTCTGAAAACCCCTCAGATACCAATACACCCTCAGCAATTCAAGGACATTCATACACAGATGGTACGCAGTCGACAGAGGGTATATATGATACACACTCTCCGATTACAGGTGAAACTAGTCATGTCAGAGGCCGTGTCGCACAAACAGTGCGTGGTAACTGTCCTGAATCTACAGTGAGGCAAGAACACTTGCGTAAAAATCAGGAACGTTATAGGCAACATTTAAATGAAAATATGCTTGTTGGCCAAATGAAGCCCAGATCTGCAGACGCTTCTGCCCAGATAACAACCCACGTACCTGGCCTGTCGTCCGAGTCCACCAGACCTAGCTCCACCCTTTCAAAGTCCAGGTCACCTGCACAGCAGCCACAGGACCTACCAGTCCAGACATCAGGTATGAAAATTTCTTAGGTTTCCTTCTAATACAGCAATGTGTTTGAGAATACCCTGTCTACTGGGTACAGTAGATATAATTATAACTATCATAGAATCAGGGATTTTATCTTAACTTTGTGACTTAGGAGTCCTGTGCATATTTTATTATTATAAATATCATAGGCCATATGTTTCATTAAACAATTAAGGACTTGTTTGCTCATTTATTTACTTGTCCTATGCCTTATTTTGAGGTGACTTATAAGCGTGTAAAGGAACGTGTAAAGGTTTATTCTATGCTGAAAAGAGAAGAAAAGAAAAACCAAAGAAGGCTCCACAGCCGAAACGTGTTTCTTTTCTTCTCGTTTCAGCATGGAATAAACCTTTACACGTTCCTTTAGTCTAAGCATGCTGATGCAGCTCCCTATTTGAATGACTTAAAAGCATTACAGAAAATATGAGTTCGATGTGTACTCAAAACTGGATGACATTAATGATTTATGTGGACATCATATAGTCACTCATTTCTCTTTGTATTTTATTTTTATTAAAATCCATCATTAAAGGCATTGTAACATAAAGGCAACACTACCATTTATTAGTTTGCAAACGGTGTACAAAGAGGTTAGAAGAGTGACCAGCATTCTACTTTGCTGTCATCTCCATGCTAATGTGTTACCACCGCCGTACAAATGACTGTCTTCTCTTTCACACTGTACTGCAGACTTGCATTGACGTGAGTGTGGCAGTGTAAGCTCACACTATATAAACACATAAGTAGTTATTGCGTTTTCTAGCATAAAATCATGCTACATACTGTACGTACAAAGTATATTTTACGTGTAGAAGCTGGGCAAGAAGGGATATTGCTGAACTTTTGTGTTTTTGTGAACTGTATTTTAGCTGTGTAATTTGAGTAAGGGTGTTTTCTTCTGTCTTGCATTTGTGATGCTCTTTGCGCTGCAGCTCAGCCTGTCCTGGTGCCGTATAAGCCCCGTGGGAGCCAGAAGGTCTTTTACATCCCCCAGAGCAGGGCTCAGGTTTCCCAGACACACTCGGACACCACCATGGAAAGCTCCCATCCAGGTACAGGCCTTTTTGAGATGTAAATAAGCTTCATACCTCTGTGATATTTAGTGCGGTGTTGAGACCTATTTTCAGTGATAAAATTCTTCAAGTGCATATCTCTTTAATCTCCTTATTTTAATGTTCCGTTTGGACCATTGGAAAGAGCATTAGTTTGTAATGTATACTTTGAAATTTTAGACAGAAAGACTACTTAATTATTCATGCTGAGACAAGCCGGGTTGCATTTGAGCTGGAAGGGTTGCAAAACACATGCGGGTGCTTTTAGCCGTTTCTTACTCTAGAGACTCATTCCTTTCTGGTCTTCTACAGGTTCAGATGATGCTATTCCACCAAAATTCACTGTTGAGATTCTGGGTGCCAGGAACAAGGAAGTAGACATTGACGTCACAGCCAAGCACAAAGAGGGTATCTACAGCAAGACAGCACAGTCTAAAACTAGATGGGAGGAAAACACAGGTAGAGATCAAGCATTTTGCATACCTTATTTCTGTGCTGAAATCGAATGCTTTGTATCGGTTTAAACTACGAACATGTTATATAGATACAAGTTAAAGCTTAGAAGTTTTCAAAATTAGCATATTTTATTTTCTATTCCATTTGTAATTTCTCATTTCCAGCTGTGTTTTATGTTAATGTTTTTAGACGTGGTACATCTGTGTTCCTCAATTGTAGTTCTTCAGGGTGACTTGGATGGCTTATTTTATTATTATGTGCATGTGGAACAGTAGTAAAAACAATTTTATTTTGCTTCTACTTTAGGTTCAGACATAGCCTTTCATCGGCAACAAAGACTTACTGAATATACGCATCAAGGTCACTCCAGACATCCAATACATCCAATAGAGTACCAGGGCTTTCTGGAGAAAATGAGTGCTGATGAGCTTCATAGCAAAACAACAGCACAGAACAGAAGTCCTTCTTTCAGTGGAACATTTTCTAAGGGTGCTAGCCATCCTAGTGAAGAACACAGAAGACCAGAAAGAGAATTCAGCAGGGAACACTTAGCTTTTAGCAGAAAGCACAAAGAGGATAAATTTTCCTCTCTAGAAGGTGAAGTTGATTACACCATGAAGGAACTACACCTCCATCAGGGGTTAGAAAGAGAAAACCTCACTTCAACCAGAGCATCATGGAATCATATCCCACAGGAGAACCCTTCTCCTCTGTCCAGGGATAAATTGGCTACTAAGAGAAACTTGGATAACACTCTTAGAAGAGGGGATCAGGTCTCTTCTGAGCATTCTCTCCACAACAGTAACACTTTGGATGAGCTGTGGGAGAAGTTTAAGGCGCGACAGAGCCTGGTGAAACTTAATAATCCCAGTGGGAAAGAGAGGTCCCTGCTGGAAAGGCTTGATCGCCTTTCCAGGCTCCTTCACAACCCTTGTCATCATTCATTTATTTCTGAGAGGGAGACTGGCAAGGGCAGGGATAGAGACCATGGACCTCAGAAGAGGAAAAAGGAGGAAGTAATGAGAAGGCTGAGAGAAAACAGAGAAAGCCATATCCAACAGGCATGGGGGGAGGAGTCTGTGGAGCCAAAAGAGATAACAGCACTCCAACCATCTAAAACTCTCAAGCCTGTTAGGGACATTTCCACAGCTAGCCCCTTGAGTCGCCATCTTTACCTTGCGGAAAGAGAGCAGGTGGACTCAGTAACAAGTGATACAGTGTCTGAAAGTGATGTAGCAATCCAAACAGAGTCAGGAGACAGCAGCCACACAGAAACCAGCAGCACTGTATCCACAATTGACACAGCCCGCCTCATCAGAGCCTTTGGACCTCAGAGAGTAAATGTCAACCCCAGCCTAAACAAACTGTACAGTGCTATTGACAAACAGAAGGAGAGTTTGCACAAGAAGTCAGTGCCAAAGAAGAGAGCCAGCAAGAGTAAAAAACATATTGACACAGCCAGTCCGTCACTGTGTAGCACAGAGGAGTCAACGGTAAGTGATTGATCGTTTTATTTTGTTCACAAGAATAAAAGCATGGTTGTTGTATTCTTCTCTCTGCTTTCTGCCCTGTGTTGAAGGCTGTGCCTTCTTTTTTAAGTTTATTTTTAATTTTGCATTTTTAAATACGTATGCTCGTTTCTGGCATCCCATATAGGGAGGAATCTTATACTCTCTAGAGTGCTTAACACTACAGAAACCCGATGAGCCGCCGTGGCTCAAGAATGGAATTTAATTTAAGTAAGTGCAATCCTACATTTGGTCCTGTGCTCGTTTGCCTTTAGGTAATGCCTGACTCTGTATCAGCCAGCACCTGTTCAGTCCCTGTGCCCCGAGGTCCATCAGGTGTTCTCACAAACAAGAAAACTGTTAAGTTGCTCAATAAAGGAATACAGGCAGGTAAGTGTATTTATAGAAATAAAAGGATAGTACTTATCAAAGCAGGGAGAGGTATTCTTTCTGCATTATCTTTATATATTTGTTTTATAGTGTTGAAATGTATGGTAAAATTAATGTGCTAGATAATTTTCCACTAGTGATAATGTTGTATACCCCTCAGCAGAACCCTGTCTATTCATATAGGGGTGGACAAAATCCAGAAACAGGAAGCGATATATTATGGAATGGGGCCACCCATTGCCTTCAGAGCAGCTTCAGTCCTTCTTGAAAGACTGTTACGCAAGTTTTGAGCCATTTCTGTGACTGATGTACCTGCAATTCTGGCACCAAATATTTGATCTCTTTCAAAATCTGTTAGAGCTCGCATGTCGCTTTTTTTAAGACGTTTATTATAACGTAAACCTTTTTCATTGCAATTTGGTTACTTTAAAATCCAAGTCCTTTTTCGTTAGGTTTTTCCAATATTGTGTCCGCCTCCAGCATGGAATACATTTGCACCTTATCGACACATTTTGACTGTAGTGTCAAAACAAAAGAAGTACCTGTTCTTGATATGCACAGGACTATATAGTACATGAGATCATATCACAAATTTTTCAGTACAGAGTTTACTCAGATAATTTTTTTCACTGAAGGAGTAACTTTAAAACCTATACACATTTGAAAATGCTATTGATGCGTCGTTCTCGGTGTCACAGAGAACCATGTGCTGAAATGGTCATTTCCACTGTGTCCAGGTGATCTAGAGATTGTGAACAGTGGCACTAAGAAAAACACCAGAGATGTAGGCGTGACATTCCCTTCACCGGGCTCTGCCTGGGCAGAACAGACAGGAGCCTCGCGCCACATGGAGGCAAGAAGAGATGAGAGGACCAGCTCAAACTCTCAGCAGTTCCTCTATGAAAAGAAGACAAAGAAAAGTAATCCACAGCGCCACACTCAAGGTCTGTTGACTTCAAGTTTCCCACAGCAGAGTTCAAAAGGAGAGAGTTTTGTGCACTCGGACCCAGGGCCTTAATGTTTTTCTTTTATTTTTCTCTGGGAGGTTAAATTTAGAGTTTCGAGAGTCTCCTCTTCTTCTTTCTCAGGCATGTCCTGGTTTGTCCCGGCGGATGAGCTGAAGTCCGAGGCCAAGAAAGAGAACCAACCCAGCTCCGTGTCGGGCCCTGGCCCTGCCTGGTTCGAACCCAACACTAGAGCACAGCCCTGGAGGGAGCCCCTCCGAGAGAAGCAGGTCCAGGACGCTCCAGTCCCCAGCAGCCGGAGGAGCAGGGCGCAGCCCATCACAGAGCCTGGAGCGGGTGCCAAGTGGCCCACTTCCCTCGTGCGTATAACTCTTCAGGTTGGTGTTTGTGCTCTATCATCGCGGTACCTCCATGTAAACTAGGAACACCTGGTCTACAAGAGATGACATCACATCCACAGAAATTAATTTAACGTTACAATTTTATTATCCTTGGCACATTTTAGATTTAGCTTACTTACTGTCCTGTATGGCTTATTGTGTGTGATTCTATTGCTACCACTTTGTGTGGACATTATTAATAAAATGCATTTTTTCAACATCTTTTTCACTTCTAAACTACGTTTAACATAGTAAAACATTTGAAGCTACACTTTATGGCACTACCGCAAGAAAGACTAGATTACAGTAGCATAAGGGAGGGCAAGATGAATAGGTTGGTTGTTATTGGTAGCAAATAAATACTGTAGGGAATCCAATAGAGACATTAAATGAAAAAGAAAAATCCTTCAAGGCTAACAGGATGAAATCGAGATAAAGCTGAGTGAGACGA